GGGCTCAGCCTCCACCCCACTTGGGATCTGGCCTGCCCCTCCCTCCCTTCCTCAGGAGCAGAGTGCTGGGGGCTCCGTCTCCGGGCTCTGGGCCTGGCCAGCAGAACACTGCCCACTGCTGCCGCTTGCAGGTCTGGCCCGGTGGAGCCGCCCCCGTGGTTCCCCACACTCCCATCTTGCCCGTGGGCTGGCTGGCAGAAAAGGACGCCGCCGAGGTTCTGTCAGCTCACAGTCACAGAGCTCGTACTCTGAACGAGCTCGCAGTTCTCGGCCCACCAAGCAGCACATGCTCTGGGACGGGACCAAGGAGGGAGGCCATCCGTTCCAGCCCACCCCGACATTGACCTGTCTTACGGGTCTCGCCCTCCACTGGTGTAACCCACCTCCCTACTGGATGGAAAGCCCCGGAGAAGCTGCGACAGATCGCCCTCGTCTGCGGTTGGACCTCCGGCACCCAGCACTGCCTAGCAAAGCAGGTGCTCAACGTATACTTAGTGAGGAAATAAATATCCGAGGGAATCTTTGTGAACTGCTCCGGGACACTTTTCCACTGACATGGACGACATAATGCTCTCACCTGGCGCTTTCACTTTCCCGCGTCTTTCACAGACCTCTCGTTAGAATCACAGTCTGCTGCCCGGGTGACGAGAGGGCGGCCAGACGGCACCACTGCCACCACGACACTGAGATGGCTTAAGCTCCACCCCAAGGGCACCATCTCTTACAACTCTTACATAAAAGTAAATACTCGCAAACATGGAAACACAAGTTCAGAGACAAGCAAACATTTGTAGTCTATAAATACGGATGCTTCATTTTTCTTCGGGAAACGCAGCAAAGCCTATTGGCTTTATCTCGTGTGCCCTTACACACACTCTGGACTGGGGGCTCTGGCTGTTATTCTGAATGGAATCATTCAGATTATCATCAAAAGCAGCACAGGATGGTGGCTGAGATCCCCGCTGCGGTCAAACTGCCAGGGCTGGAAGCCTGGCTCGGCCTCCGGCTAGCTGTGTGACCCTGGACGAATCACGCAACTTCTCACAACGTCAGGATTTCTCGCCTGGACAGGCAGATAAGGGCAGTATCGACCACAAGGCTACTCTCAGGATGAAGCCACAACAGATGCATTTAGATGGATGCCTGGAGAAGAAAAATGCTAGCTATACGAGGGTTACAAAGACCCTTTGAAGTACTGAGCATAAAGAATCAAACAGCAAGTTTGACACAAAACCACTGAAGACTGCCTGGAGCCTGCAGCACAAGGCCTCTGAGAGGAGCTCCGTGCGACCAGGCGTCCTCAGAGAGGGGACTTGTCTTTCTAAAGCAAGTGGAACCTGGAATGGGATGCGCACCTTCGAGCAACAAAGGAGAAGCTGCAAAACCAGTGTCCGCACAGGGAACCACACAGATGTTCTGAATCTACTTAAGGAAGAGCTGAAATGGGAAGAATATTCTAAACGAGGATGTCCTTGAAAAGCCTGGGGAGGGCACCTGGGTGGCTCAGTCAGGTGGGTTGAGCGTCTGCTTCGGCTCAGGTCATGATCCTGGGGTCCTGGGATCAAGCCCCATGTCAGGCTCCCTGCTCAGCGGGGAGTCTGCTTCTCTGCCCCTCCCCTGGCTCATGCACACTCTCTCTTTCTTGCCCGCTCTCAAATAAATAAATAAAATCTTAAAAAAAAAAAAAAAAAAGCCTGGGGAGATGGTCACTTTTGATGAATCCAACCTTAGGAATAAAAAACTTTCAGAAACTGGAAACCAAGCATATCTACAACTCTAGCACCCATACACACCCTTTCCTATTTGATTTTATTTCCTGTTTCCTCAGGGGATGACCACAGGTTCTTGACCTCGGAGGAAGCCTAGGGACAGGTGGGTGGGGGGCACCAGGAAAGGAAGAGCAGGTGGGCTGCGTCCTGGGCCCAAGCACTGGCTGAGAGGTACTACCCTACGGCACAGGACTAGAAAAATCCATCAGCTGTCCAAACTGGGGGCTCAATTCCAATCTATAGAGCAATCTCCAAAAACAGGCCAATTCTTACCAAGCCTCCAAACACCTGACTTGCTAAAGCAATTAAAAGAAAAAACCCAACATGTCATTTATGTCCACAAATGAAACAGAACCACGCTTTCATTAAAAAACAAAAAAGAACAGAGAAACAAGCTCCAGGTTTCAATCCAGACACACAGCGTCTGTCCTGTGCCAGGTGCTACTCTAAATCCTTTCCAAGGGATGACCCCTTAAGGGTCCACATCCTCTGAGGTGGCACGCTTGGCCCCCCGTGCTCTGAGAAAGGGGCAGAGGGGCGCCTGGGTGGCTCAGTTGCTGAGCGTCTGCCTTCGGCTCAGGTCATGGTCCCGGGGTCCTGGGATCGAGCCCCGCATCGGGCTCCCTGCTCTGCGGGAAGCCTGCTTCTCCCTCTCCCACTCCCCCTGCTTGTGTTCCCTGTCTCACTGTGTCTGTCAAATAAAATCTTTAAAATAAAAAAAAATTTTTTAAAAAGGAAGGGGCAGAGCTGGGAGCCCAGGCGCGCCACACCGGCTCCGGGCTCAGGGCTGCTGTTTCACTGGAGGCGGGGTGGACTTCTCAGGCTGCCTGGCTCTAGGGAAGGTGGGGACAGTCCTGGCATCCAGGCACGCCTGTCGGGGGAGGTACAGTGAGCCTGGTATGTGGGTGCTGGTGTGGGGCAGCAGCCCGTCACGTGGGTGCCTCCCACGTCACAGGGTCACCCGGGTGGTCAGAGCTCCCCACCTGGGGGCCCAGAGCACCCAGCGGCAAAGGGCACACACACAGCCTAAAGTGTGGGCAGGCTGGAACACTCCCACATCATCTTCACCAGCCAAGAGCAGTGAAACTCTAGGTCAATAATCTCCAGACGGGAATCCCGGCGACAATCTCTCGACTTGCCAGAAGTCACAGCCCTACTTGCGGGTCTGTGGGAAAAGATCCAGCGCTCTTCCAAGCTGGCCTGCGGACGCGTTGGTCCAGGCGCTGGTGACATCAGAGCCCGGGGTGGGCAGAGCTGCGCCCTGAGCCTCCCGGGAGGCAGGCAGTAAAGTGGGGTAATAACGCACTGATCAAGCAGGGCCCAGTGGCCACCGTGTGTGGGGCCCCAGATGAGAGCCTTCATAAAACCCGACGCCTTTCATGTGGGTGTCTGCGCACCCCCGCTTCTTGCGCCCACCCCCGGCTTGCTGCCAGGCTGGACGCCAACTGAAACACCCCCGCGGCTCTGCCTGTCCCCAGATCCCGCGCAGACACCAGCTAGGGGAGGTGGGGCAGCGCTCCGGGGTGGGGCGCCTGAGGACCCCCGCGCAGCCCGACCGAGAGGCTGAGGACGGGGGCCTCGAACCCGCGCGGAGCGCACAGATGTCCAGCGGAGCGCGGGGAGCGCAGGCCCGGGCCGGGGACCCGGGGAGGCTCAACGTCCGCCAGGTCGCTGCGGGGACACGCCGACCCCCAAGCCCGCCCCGGGGAGAAGGCCACCCCCAGGACCGGGCCATCGTCCGCACGCTGGCCGAAGGAACCCGCCGACACCCCAGGCCCGGGGTCCTCACCCGCCCGGCCAGGAGACCCGCCGACCCAGGGCGAGGGGCCATGCTCCGCCCACCCCGGGGACCCGCCGGAACCCCAGCGCGGGCTCGTCGCGCCGCCCCGCCGCGCGCACTCACCCTGCTCCCCAGAGGCACCTGACATCTTAGAAATCCCAAACCTGCCAAAGGCCACAGCTTCCCAGAATCTGATGCAACCGCCGCCCCGGAAGTCCCACCCACCGCCCCGCCCGGCTTCCGGGACACGCCCGGTCGCCGGGCAACCACCGCGGACTCGGGCCGCCGCCGCCTCGGGGCATGCTGGGAGTTGTAGTTCTCCCTGCTCCCTAGAGCATCCGGGGGGGACACCCGTTCCATTTGCCGACCTAGGAGGAGACCCGTTGCCGCCCGGGCGCGGGGTTCGGTGCCGGCGGGGGGTCGGGGGGGTGATGTGTGTGTGTGTGTGTGTGTGTGTGTTGCAGTTCGGCCTCGGGAGACAGGCATTAAGGACACAGCTCACGCACGCTTGCTGAAGTTAGCATTGCACCCAGGGGCGTGGGGACAAGCCCCAGCCCCAGCCCCAGCCCCAGCCCGCTGGTCCAGAGACAGGGCCGTCCAGAGACAGGAATGGGCTGGCCAGGACGGAGGACTAGTTGGAAGGAAGCTCAGAGGATGGGATTGCGGATGGGTGGGAAGTGCATGCCAGGGAGAGGGCTGTCCAGCAGATGACCCCCGCAGAAAGCAAGCCACTGAAAACTGCATGTTAGTGCAGAACGCAAAGAACAGCCCTGGCAAGAGATGGGGCCTGAGGCACAGGCCAGGGCTCGACCTTTTGGAGGCATCTTGTAAGCAGAGTCAAGAATGGCACGGAGCCGCTGAAGGGTTCCCACAGGACCGGGCACGGCTGGATTTGTGCTTTAGAACGCTCAGAATGCCCAGGGTGGCAGAACGAACTAGAGAGACCCGGAGGACAGCCAGACTGAAGCCGTTCAGTCGTCTAGAGGACAGTGAATGGTGGCCTGGACTAGCGGGGTGAGCACATAGTCCGGGGAGAGCCCCAGGAAGCAGCAAACCCTGGCATGGCGGGGGAGATGGGGAGATGGGGGGGGAGGGGGACAAGGGAGCGGGTGGTGACCAACCTCTCAGATGACGGAGCGGGTATGGCATTTACTTTAACTGGGAGTTGAAGAGGCTGGGTGCTGGATGGGAAGAAGCAGGCAAATCTGTGCCTAACTCCAGGGACCGGTGATGTTCAGGGTGAGGGGGGCAGAGTGGAGCTCACCTTCTGAGGCAAGCAATGGGAGGAACACCACAAACCAGAAGAGGCTTCTCCAGCCTCCGATCCTCAGTCCAGAGCCCTGCCTCTGGCAAATTAGAGCCTTGAGGTCCGTATCGTCCTCTGTGCATGAAGCCCCTGCCAAGGATTCACACCCACGTTGTGCACCCACCGGAAATAAAAGGAAACACGATTTAAAATGTAAGTTTTATTAAAACTTAATCGCAGGGGTCCTGAAGTGGCTCAGTAGGCTAAGCACCTGGCTCTTGATTTCGGCTCAAGTTGATGTTAGCGTTTGAGACGGGAGCCCAACGGCAGGCTCCGCACTGGGCAGGGAGTCGGCTTAGGATTGCCTCTCTCCCTCCGCCCCTCCCCCTGCTCACAGAAATTCTCGAAGCTACATAAAATCTTAAAAAAAGAGAAAAGAAAACTGTAGGGGCCCCTGGGTGGCTCAGACGGTTAAGCATCTGCCTTTGGATCAGTCATGATCCCGGGGTCCTGGAATCGAGCCCTGCTGAGCAGGGAGCCTGCTTCTCCCTCTCCCTGCCACTCCCCCTGCTTGAACTCTCTCTAGTAAAAAAATATTTAAAAAAACAACTATAAATATAGAAAAAAATGTAATGATATATTATCTCTACTTGTGATAAATACGGCATAATGTCAAATCATTAAGTTATTCCTACTTAATAGGGGAACCTCAGTCACAGGCACAGTGTGTTCCAGGTCATGGGGACATCCCAGATCTCTGAGATTTAGGAGCTGATCAGGGCAGAAAAATGGCCTCCTGCCTCAGTGCCTGGGGAAAGGGCTGGGCAATGTGAGTGCAGCCAGCAGAGTCCCAGCGCCCGGCCCAACCAGCTCAGGACTCACTGGGATCCACGTAGATCCTGCCCACCTCTGCTGCCTTGGCCACAGACAGTCCCCACAGCTGGTCTGGCCCCGCAGGAAGCACTCTTGCTGGCATGTAGGACTGACCGCCCCATTACAAACTATCTGTACAATCTATGGAGAAAATGTGCACAGCCCCATCAGGGATTCCAGAAGTTTCCAGTAAGATGCAAACGGGGAAAGGAGGTTAGATCATGTCCATTCAGGATCCGGCTTAACGGCATGATTCCGAGCCCAAAGTTTAATCCGTGGTCTCCGAACGTCTGACCAGGATGCCTTCGGCAACTAACCCGTTTATAATATTTTCCAAGTACATGTGTAGCTGCATCTTATGGAGGGCGGCGAAGAGTTTAAAAACAGAGGCTTCCCTTCCCAACTGGATTCTCCACCTAAGCAGCATCTGGTGATGCTGCTCCATCAAATTGCCGGGGTTTTGGCATTCACAAATGTCAATGTCATGATCCTGCAGCCCGATAAACCTCATAAATGTTTTCCAGTGTTTATCAGAAATCCTGTTTTCAAATTCGTAGTAGATCCTGTCTGAAAAAAAGTAAAAGCACAAAGGAGGACTGTTTCCATTTCTGGGAGGACCGTGTGGCCCCTGCTGTCACGGCTCCCCAGGGACAGGTCCCAGGTGTCTCCGGCGTGCCCCAGGGCTGGGTGCCAACCAGCACGCCACACCCAGGAGGTGGAAGGTCCTGTGGGACCCCGCCGATGTCCCAGAAATTGGGTCCAGGGGCCGGGAGACCGAGGTGGGGCCAAGGCTCTTGCCCTGCCTGTGGCTCATTACTGGAACCTGGGAGATGGAGCCAAAGATCCGGGGAAGTCGGGAACCGCATGGGATCCCCAGTCTGCTGCAGGTCACCTGCCCTTTTGCTGTCCCTCAACACCCAGAGAGAGGCTGTAAGACGCACAAGACTGAGAAGGCCTCCCCAGCTGTCGGCTGGGGACCGTGGCTAGGATCTGAGACCGGACGCAGGTTCTGTAACCTCTCCGGGTTTCAGACTACCGTCTCTTTAAACCAATCCAGAGGGGTGGTCTTGCAGAGCTGTTAGCGAAGAGGAGATGTAAAAAAGCACCTGTCATGTAGCAGGCCCCCAAAACCCTCCCTGAACGCCTGAGAGAGCACAGAGTCCTAGCCAAGAGCGGGCCTGCTCGTCGAGGCTGCATCCAGTATTCCTACCCCCCATTCATTTCTCCTTCAAACATGAACGCATCTTCCAATCAGAGCGGTAGTCAAAGCCGATGAATCCCACAAAACTCGTGTTTGACAAATGATGTTTCCCCTAATGTCACTCCTGAGCGCGAAATAGTGCACCCCAAGGGGACAGATGGTGCCCGCGGCTTGACGCAGGCAAGTGTCCCCCTCTCAGAAACAAGGACACCAGGCCTTGACATTCAGACCAAACAAGATGAAACCTTCACAGCATCTAGAAATGAGGGATGCAGATGACATACCTTCATTGGATGTATCTGTTACAAAATACTTAGTTTCATATTCCTGTGGAGAGAAGAAAACAACGCTGTTGCAGGAGAAGGAAGAATCCGTGTGGCCGAAGCCCAACCACAGTCTGGTTGGAGGGAGCAGCAGGGTGAGGGCATGGGGCCTCTGTGGACGGACAAAGGCCTTCAGGGAGTCAGTCCCGCACCGGGGGCCAAGAGTTCACAGCCCACGTGTGTCCTCCGGGGCTCGCTGCCCCAAGACACGGCCGGGGCCCAGAGGCGGCCCAGTGGCCCCTGCTCAGGTGGGCAGGCGGGCAGGTACCCGCTGAGCTGTGTCACCTGGGGATACCCAGCTCTGCTCCAGGGAGTACGAACGGACAGCACTCCTGTCCACAAAAATGCACAGGGAACGCGAGACGGGACTCCAGAGAGGCTCCGAGCGGAGGCCAGAGCCAACACTGAGTGCCCGAGAGCGGCAGCCCCAACGCCCGCTTCTCCTGCGCACGAGGTCAGGCTGCCCGTCAGTGTCAGGCCACCTGCTGCAGGCCCGAGGGCCGCGCCTTCAGCCCCCAGCTCTGCCTCCCGCCCACGGCTGGCCCCGCACGGGACTCCCCGCTCTGGGCAGGGGCTGCTCGGCCATAACATGGGGCAAGAGCGGGCTGAGAGGGACCCCCGGGCCTCCCGCTGAGATGGGCAAGGGTCCTAACGTCTCTACTGACTCGTCTCCGAGCCGGCAGGGCATCTGAACAACGGCAGGGCCTCTCTCCCTGCAGTGGTGCCTACGGACACTCGGCCCAGGAACCCAGTCTCCACGGTGGAGTTGGCATCCTCCACGCCCACGCCAGGGGACCCCAGGGACCACGGCCATCGGAACAGGAGCTGCGTGATCTCCTCCCTGGGACCCTGTCCCTCAAATCCTCGCCTGGGCCCTGCCTTCAGGATTCAGACACGGGCCCTTATCATTCCCCAGACCCTGGCTCTGTCCCTTCGATGCACATGCTGTCCCCGCTTCCGGAAGAGCCCTACCCCCCTGAGCCACGGAGCGCGTCTGCTCATCTCGTCAAACTCAGGTGTCGCACGCTGGACGGGCTGCGCAGCCCCGCAACAGAGGATGGGGACCATTGCCGTCCCGCGAGCGAGCCCGACCCCACGGCCCATCCAGGGGCGCAGTGTGCGCCTGCCCCTCCCCCCGCCGCCCCGGCTGCACAGAGGCCATGCCCGGCACACAGGACTTGCTGGCCGAGGCCCGCCAGGCCCATCTGAGACCCGCTCGCGCTCCGGAGGCTGTGGTGTCCAGCACATCCCAGCCTCGGGCCCTGGACTAGGACGCTCTGAGCCTCGGCGCCCTCCTCGGTGTCAGAGCCCCTTCGGGCAGCAGGTGGGCCCGGGCTCCTGTGCGCTGAATCGCAGCCCCACACGCTGAGTCCGAACCTCTCAACGTGACTAGTTAGGAATGGGGTCCAGGCGGACAACAGTCCTGTCGAGGTCGTGAGGGTCAGCCTCACTCCATCCTGACTGGCGTCCTCAGGCAAAGGGGAAATCTGGACATGGACTCGTACACAGGGACACACCCCGTGAGGACAGATGCAGAGCTTGGGGCGACGCTTCGGCAAGCCCCAGAGCCCGAAGCCAGCCAGATGCGAGCAGCCGCCGGGGGAGAGGCCTGGCCCGCTGGTCCCTCGCAGCCTCCGACACCTCGATCTGGACCGCAAGCCTCCAGGACGCGGAGACAGCACACAGCCCGCTGCAGAAGCCGCCCCGGGAAACGCACACAGGGGCCGTGCGGAGCGCGCGTGTTAGCCCTGAGCACGGACTCTGCGCACAGTGAGTGCCAAGCAAGCAGAGGCTCTCGCTCCTCGAACCCCCCAGAAAGCTCACCCACCTGCTCCAGGGTCCTGAGGGAAGGGGCCGCCTTGGGCCGGTCCTGCGACCCGGGGGCGGCCGTCGGTAGCGCCTGCTCTGGGGCCGCGGGGCTCCCCCCGAGCGTCACCTGCGCCAGCTCAGCGGGCGCCGGCTCCTCGGAGGGGCCTGCGTGGGGCCCAGCCTCGGGCTTCACGGCTGAGCCCCCCTCCTCCAGCATGCGACAAGACGAGGACGTTTCTGTGGCAGGGGCTGGCCCGTCAGTCTCAGGATTCAGGGGCAGCAGCGACGACTCACTCTGCTGATGGCCCATCTGTGAGTAAAGGACAAAACCGTGTCTTTTGGTCACGGAAGCCTGCATCACAGGGGCTTCCCAAGCCACGACTCTGGGGGGAGAAATACCTGGTAATTCCTACCAAATGGCAGACCGTTTCGTGAGGACTGTATTTGCCTGGTGACCTGCGCAACTAGCGGGGAGCTCAGGTGGCCGGTAGCAATTATTAGCAATAAGGCACCTCTTTGTCTTTTTTAAGTAGACCCCGCCCAGCACGGCGCCCAATGGCGGGCTTGAACTCACGACCCCGAGTGCAAGACATGAGATGGGATCGAGAGCCGGAGGCTGAACCGACGGGCGCCCCCAGGCGCCCGGGCACTACAGCATCATCGTTTACGGAGGCTGTGACCCTGGTTTGGACACAGAACACTGCTGCACACCTAACAGTCTTCGCTGGTGTGAGCACAACTTCTGCACACACCAGGGAAGTGAGCAATCCATGTGACTGGCTCCGTCGCGTTACGTGCTTTACGGCCGTGGGGAGGGACCACCGCCCCGCACCACGCACTGCGCCCGTGGGTCCGCAGCCGGAGCTCTGCGCCCGCACGAAGCACCTGACTGCGGGAGTTCACACTGCAGGAACGTGAGCCCTACACCAGCAGTGAGCGTGCGCGGAGAGGCCGACTCTGAGACGCACGGACGCGGGGAGAGAAGCAGACACGGGCTGACACCTTGGCCCTACAACAAGTGGGGTCTCCAGCCCGAGGGGGCAGGCAGGAAGGACCCTCCCAAGCACCTCTGACAGAGCCCCCCCTTCCCGCCGCCCCGCCCCTGGTGCCAGACTCCGCCCGCACACTTGCAGGCCACCAGCTCTATTGCTTCGTGCTCCCCAGCGGACACCGGATGTTTCGGCAGCCCTGGGACGCTCACGCACACCCCTCTGCCCCTCTGAGCCTCGTTTTCCACCCCGCTCTAGACCGACAGGATTTAAGTCTTCTTCCAGCCCATTCTGGGGCTCCGATAAGCAGGCACACGTGAGGCTGGAAAGCAAGGGCTCCCGTGCGCCCACCACTCACCCACCCCGGATGACTTTTGGGACTCGGCTGCCACCAAAGCCTGGTGCCACTGTTAGGGAAACCGCAGGACAATACTTACAGCGCTGTCAGGTCCGTCCAGCCTTCCTGAAGACCAAGAAGAAGAGAAAGATCAGAACTGAAATCGGGGCAGTGACTTCTACGAGGGAAGAAACTGCTCTGAATTCACGACAAAGCGTCCTTACCTTTCAAGAAGCTGAAAAACCAGTGGTGAGGCCACACACCTGCTAGGAGCACAGGAGGGGAGCGTCCTCGGGGCTCTGCCGCACCCAGCTCCCTGCCTCCCTCCGGGCGCCCCCACGCTGACGCAGCGCCCGTCTCTCCCTGCCCCATGGCCCACAGCACCCCGGACACGACACCTCCAGCCAGCTGACCGGAGATTCGGGTCTTAAGACCTGTGTGCGGGGAGCAGGCGAAGAGCTCCGAGCTCAGACACGAGAAGGAGAAAATCAAGACAGCTGTGCTTTCACAACAAAAGCCTCCCGGGGGACCCCCAACCCAGGGGGTCCACTTCGGAGCTCCTGATGGGGACTCGGAGCTGGCCCTCCAGGTCTGACCTGACCCTAATTTACCTTTCTTCTTATAGCGGTACATGACGAAGAAGGCAGCAATGATGAGGAGGATGCCCAAGACGATGAAGGATGAAACAAGCCCAAGGATGAACACAACCTTGGGTAATTCTTTTCCTGGAAGGAGACGAAACAGAGGATGGTGGAGCAGGGTCAGGCTCACGTTCCTCGCCCAAGTGACGAGTACAAAAAATCCTCGCTCCGGGAGGCAAGGAGGCACTGTGGTCTCTCCCAGCCCCAAGCCCTCTCTCCCGCTAATCATGGTCGTGAACGGCCCTAGTGGGAGGCAGGAGAGGCTCATGGTTCCTGTGTCCTAGACGAGGACCCGGGGTCCTGCTCAGGTGGCTGGAAGGAGGAGGTCTGCACGGCCAGGGGAACCATCAACGTGTCTGCTCTTCCTTATGATCTCCTTATTACCGTTTTCTCTCTACTCTATGTTACTTTAACAATACAGCACGTGGGATACACGTAACACACAAGAGAGCAGTTATTCAACTGCCCGGTCCCACGGAGGCTTCATTCAACAGGACGCTATCAGTAGATAAGATTTTGGGGGGGTCAAGGGTTCTCTGGGGATTTTCCCGTGTGCAGGGAACCGGCGCCCCTCGCCCCACGTTGTTCAGGGCTCCGCTCTAACTACCAAAACTAAGCAAGCAACCCCGCCTAGGACTCAACAGTAGGCAAGAGTCTCCTAGAGACACTCAGCACAAGAGGCCCAAAGGCTTGGGGCCTCACCTCTGCTCTCGGCTGCTGCCCGCCTCACAGCCTCGGGTCCCAGCTGAGCCTCCCTGAAGGCAGCGACCTGGCCTGCTTTTGGGGATCCCATGAAAGGAGAGATGGAGGAGGTGACGACTAACCGGGAGAAAACCGCGGGCCTCACGGAACCCAGCCGCTCCGGCGCGGGAGCCTAGGACGCGAGCCACAGCGCGGCTCCGAGCCTTCCGTTTACTCAAGACAGGGCCGTGACCGTGGCCCACGGGCCAAACACAGCCCACTGCCCATTCCCGCAAGTCTGAATGGCACCCAGGCCTGTCAAGCCTAACATCTTACGTTCACAGGGCAGGTCTGCGGACCTGGAAGGGAGAGATGGCGTCCGGCTCTTACCTGGTGCCTCCGTACCAGCTTCTGGGTCACAGACTGCATTGTGTGTGACATTGCAGGGCCGAAGGACAGCGCCAGGACATCTGACAGAGGGAGGAAACCCGGAGCATTATTCCTCCCTGCCTGGTACGGTCCCAAACATCCTTCGCACCACCCACAGGTCAGGGGTCAGGAGGAGCCCCGGCTCCCAGGATGGCCCGCCAGCCCTCGGGCTCTCACTGCCGGGCATCTCCCCGGCTGCCTGGCCCAAACCGGTTCACTGAGGAGTAAAGCTCTGTCCCATGCTCTGTGACGCGTGGGGGGTGGGGCAGAGCCTCCCTCTGCTCCTGGATAGCACTGTGTGTGCTGGGAGGACTGGCCCTGCTGTAGCTGCAGCTCGACCTCCCTCAAGAAAGAAGGTAGCCCAAAGGTGAAGCGCGTGCAAAAGGGGACGTGCAAGCGAATCCAGAGAAGCCAGAGGCTTGATCGAACCGGACCTCAAGGCAGTCCTCGCTTTGGACTTGCAGGTCCAGGAAGCTACCGTTCGACACAGTCTGGGTCATGTCAGTTCACGACGTGCCTCACAAAGGAAAGGCGAGCTATCTCTTTAGGGGCTCTGCACTGTCGGCGTCCCCAGAAGGTCCTCCCCAGTCGGTGTCCACCCAGAACCTCGGAAGGGGGTTGGCAGAGATGCTCACGTGATGGATGCGGTCACGCCAGACTACGGCGGGCCTTCATCCACGACCGCTGTCCTTACAGGAGGGAAGAGGGTATCGGGACAGAGAGAAGGCCAGGTGCAGACAGACAGACACAAGCACGCGAAGACGACCTCAAGCGGACAGAAGCAGAGGCAGGTAAGCCCAGGAGCCCCGAGGCGTGCCGGCACCATCAGAGGCTGGAAGAGGCGAGGCAGGGTCCTCCCCCATGGTCTGCAGAGGGAGCTTGGCCCCGCTGACCCCTGGCTTCAGGCTTCTGGTCTGCAGACTGTGAGAGAACACACCTCTGTTGGTTTTCTCACAACCACCCAGGTGTGGCCGTGTGTCAGCAGCCACAGGTCACTCACGGTGATGCGTTCATGCTGCTCTGCAGTCGTTCCATCTGCCTACACCGCTCCTCCCCCAGAACCCTCGACGGCTCCCTCCTCCCTCCCTGGGCCTCTGCTCAAGAGACCAGTCCCCCCCCACGCGCTCTGTCCCACGTGGACTCGTCACTGCCCACGTGTCTGCACCGTCTCCACCACGCTGGGCGCTTAGGGTCTGCTACTATGAGTACAGGGGGGGCCCACACCCGTGCCCCCAGCACCTTCGACACCGGAAGCAATTCTCCACGCAGCTCGGTGAGTCGCAGAAGAAGCTCCCCGACGCACACTGGCACTGCCTGTCGCGGATCCGTGTGCACGCGGCCACCATCTCCTGGTCTGAAGGGGGAGGGCTGAGGGTCAGCGCTGGGGGCAGGACTGTCCCCGCCCACACCGGGCTGCACCCAGCACATTGGTGGACAGCACGGAACCCGGCCTCCCCTTCCCTTCTGTGCAGGGGCGGAGAGGGGCCAACAGCCAGACCTCAGCCCTGCATCCCGGCCGAGGGGCCAGGGCCACCTGCTCAGAAGCCACCCCCATCGTTCCGTTCACCTTGTTTGCCCCACACAGAAGAGCACAGCGCCGCCAGGGATGCCGCCTGAGTGACACCTCAGAGAGAGAACGGTAGGCAGGGGGACCCCTCCTCCTCCAGCAATACCCACCGCGGCCGCGCTCACCACCACACCCAGAGCCCTTCCGCGGTGCTCGAGACCAAGAACAGCATTCCAGAGACAATGACAACAAAACGGGACCACACTCCCCGCCGGGTACCATGTCCCAGACCCACAGCCCGGGTTCAGCCCTCCGCAGCCCATCACTACATTCTGGAGCTTCCTGAAGCCCGACGCGCTGGGCTAGACACGACGGGACCAGATCCCGCCGCGTACCCCACGCCGGGCTGGCCCCTCGGGGACGCATCTCTCCGTCCCTGGACATCTGGGTTGCTGCTGGCTTTATGCGACTGCAGACGCTTCCCCAGCTCTCAGCACACACGAGCAAGCGCCTGCCCGGGTCGAGATCAGGACATGGGGTGAGTGGGCAGCCGCTTAGGCGCATTTTCAACTTCACCACCTCTGCCAAGACTGTTTCCAGAGCGTACGGACTCCTGCACGCCCCTGGGGGTGAGTCCTTCCTGTCCTCGGCCCCCACGCCGGAAATCTGTCCGTCTGCCAGGAGGACAGCATGTCTGTCCGTCTACTCCCATGCTTTTTACATGCGTTCTGGTCACATATGTCCCGTCGTCTTGGCCGCGTCTGTGTCTCCATTTAAATCGAGTATGTTTTCAAACCTCCCTACTGATGTGTTTCTTCTGGATGTGAATTTCCCGGAGTTGTATCATCAATCCGTTCTCCCACTTCATGGCTTAATTCCCAAACCTGGGTGTCTCGTGACGAACAGAAGTTGGCCGTTTGAATGCAGTCACGGGTACGGTTTATGACTTTTAGGGCTCCCGTAAGATGCTTTTCCACTGCCACCAGGGCATAAACACGCTTTACATTCTGCTCTCAAAGTCTGACTTTTCCCACGCAGCCTGAGCTGCACCATGAGCACACTCGTGAGCGCGGCGGGAGCTTCCCGGCCTGCGTCCTGCACGGGCAGCGGCTCGGGGGGCGGCCGGCGGTCTGCGCTGGAGATGCCAGCCCTGCTCCTGGGGAGGGCTCGGTCACCGGGCCACATGCCACCGTTCGCATCCACGGCGCTGTCCGCTGATCCGCTGGCCCAACCGTCCACCCTGCCCTGACCATCACACGCTGTCCTCCTGCCTCTCTGCACTGAGTCGTAACATGAGGGAGAGGGAGTACACTCTCTCTCTTCCTCCTGAGAGTTTTGACAATTGTCAGCGTGTTAGATTGCATGAAAATACCTGTTCTGATTTTTTTTTTTTAAATAAAAATTGTTATTTAAAATCTTCAGCAGGCTGCCTGGATGGCTCAGACATTAAGCATCTGTCTTGGGCTCAGGTCATGATCCCAGGGTCCTGAGATCGAGCCCCGCATCGGGGTCCCTGCTCAGCAGGAAGCCTGCTTCTCCCTCTCCCACTCCCCTTACTTGTGTTCCCTCTGTGTCTCTGTCAAATAAAACCTTTAAGAAAATAAAGAAAATGAAATAAAATCTACAGCAGGATATCTTGGGAATCCACTGATTCTAAGAATCCTTTCACAGAGATCTGATACCTTTAAAACAGAGAGTCTTCTTACTTATAATCTTGATTCTCTGCGTAAGTAGACTTTCTTCAATGTTGTTTTTTCACATAAACAAAAATTTTATACATCCTCTCCTAGATTTTCTCAAAGTTTCTCATCTTTTCTTTGCTAATCCAAACAGTATTTTTTTAAAGAATGACATCTTTTAAAACAACTTGATGCTCCCACGTAGAAAGAGAGAACCTTTTGTATATGACCCTTGCCCCGAGCGTCTCCTAAGATCCTGACTCCCGGAAGGCTGATTCTTTAAGCAGGTGCACCCACCATCATGATAAGAACACCCCGAGATCGGTACCCTGCAGCTCTGTCATTGTGTTCATCTGACATCATTCTGTTTGGGGCAACGCCGACTAGCTGAGGCCAGGAGGCTACGTTTCCAAACCCCGAGATCCCACTGTGCCGGACTGCGGCGCACTTACCCGCCCGACACTGAGTGCACGGCCAGCAGCTGGTCTCCCCGTTTGGGTGGGAGAGGAAGCTTCCAGGTTCGCATGGGCTACATTTCGGAACACCATGGTTTACACCACAGTCCGCGCTGACATGATAGCCTGTAAAGGAGGGAACACAGAGGTGAGGTGGAAGCCCAGAGCGGACCCGACCCTGAGGCCTCTACTGGAGGACCAGACCTCGCCACTAACTCCTTGGAACGTTCTGGACTGACACTTGGCCTCCGGTGTCCCAGGAACTGGGGACCTGGTGCCCCACGGCTTTCAGCGACATCTTGGAACACATGTCAGCAGGTGGTTTTGAGCATACACACTGGAGGCTCCTGTGGCCGACAACGTCTGCGTGTCCGCCCCTGCCCCCGGGGTGGGCTGACAGCTCCCGGCTCATCTACAGGGAACGCCGGAGGGCTCGAGACAGAGTCTCTGACCAGTCCCGGAGGAGCACCCCGGTCTAGCGCTTGCCTCGGGCAAAGGCCGTAGCTGAGACAATCAGCCCTTGCTGGGAGGCGGCTGTCACACCCTGGACCTGCACACAGGCTGAGTTCACAAGGTTCCCAGTCAAAGCACCCGCGTCTAATCCATGCCCACACGAGCCGTGCGTGTACACACGTGCGCACACGCGCGGACCCACACGTGCCTGGTGCGTACAGAGCTGTGCTGGGAGCGTGTCAGGGGAGTGGGCCAGGTGGGGACCTTCAGTACCCAGAACGGGAGCCCTGCGGGGGCAGGGAGCGTGCGGGGCAGTGGGTGACGCCGGTGGCGATGGGTAGAGGGATGTGGCTGGCCCGCGCAAAGACGAGATCCGTGAAGGAACTCTCACGGATGGCATGTGCACATCCGTCTGCGAGTGGAGATGAGGTACATGCTGTGGGGGATGGGCAGAGCAGGCACCTGAGGCCTGCGGCCCCCTCCTGCTCTATGGGGCTCATTCAGAGCATCCTCACGAAGGTGAGTAAGCCTCCGTGCACGTGCTGTGCCTGAGCTCCGTGGTCGCCCCTGCCCCGCTAGGACCCTCCTCGTCAGGGGTCCGCGGTCGACTACCCCGACGGGAGGACAGCTAGGAGCATCTGGCCTGGCCGTGCACCCCCATGTTGTCCTCCAGTCTGCCGAAAGACCTCCCTGAACAAAACAAGCCCACAACCCTGTTCACAGGAGAGGCCCCCCAGGGGGGCCAAGATGGGGGGGCTGGCTGCCAAGGAGCGGTCCACCCACCTGAGCCAGCAGGGGTCTCCCCGCCCAGCCTCCAGCTCTGTCTGCTCCAAGGGCCCACAGCCGCCCTTCTCCAGCCTGGGAGGGCCGCCCTCCAAGGCTCCAGAAGATCCCCTGGGACTCACCGGCAGGACATTGCTTGCAGCACCAGCTGAGACCCTCAGGCTCGTACTCATTGGGGCTGCACTCGGGCTCACCGCCTGGCAGGGGCACCTTCGATCCGAGAAAGGAGATGGGGGTCATCGAGAGAAGCCCCTGCTGCACACGGAGCCGCACACATCCTCCAGATGGACACGTGCGAGCACACACGGGGACAGCCACCTGCCACCTCACGGGGGTGGGCTCTGTTGGGGGAGCACATGTTGGGAACTTCCTACGTATCTCTGTGCTTTTGCACTTGGGATCTGGACCAGTGCTACTCTGGGGCAAAACGTTCTTTCGTTTCCCAAAGCATGTACTCAGGTCCACTCTTCCTGTTGTTGCTGTCTAACCTGCTGGCCCGGCCAGGACTGAATCGTCTGGCCCGAATATTGCTTTTTTTGAAATGATTTATTTATTTATTTCAGAGGCAGTACACGAGCAGGGGGATGCGTAGGAGGAGAGGGAGACAGAATCCCAAGCAGACTCCCCGCTGAGTGCGAGCCCGACGACTCGGAGACGGTGACCTGACCCAAAAGCAAGACTCGGACGCTCAAGGGACCGAGCCACCCAGGTGCCCCGACCATTTGCTTTTGTTCTAGTTCATCTGTTCAGCGACTACGTATTTATGTGTCAAAAAAGCACATCATCGGGCGCCTGGGTGGCTCAGTTGGTTGGGCGACTGCCTTCAGCTCAGGTCATGATCCTGGAGTCCCGGGATCGAGTCCCGCGTCGGGCTCCCTGCTCGGCAGGGAGCCTGCTTCTCCCTCTGACCCTCCCCCCTCTCATGCTCTCTATCTCATTCTCTCTCTCAAATAAATAAATAAAATCTTTAAAAAAAAAAAAAAAGCACATCACCTGTCGGCTGGGAACAGGGGGTCTGAGCGAGTGCACCTGCCGCCTCCGTGCACACACACTAGAGCCCCTCGTGCTGTGGTCCTGACTCTTTACATCGTTACTGGCTGTTTTCTGCTCGCTCTGTTGGTGTCTGAGGTACAGTAAAAGCCCGACCAAGTTCACGGATGTCAGGTTTCGCCAGACGATCACGCCAGCTTCGGCTGGGTGCGCTGCTGCAGCTCGGGCGGACGCGTGCGACGTCACGACCGCTGCACTTAAAGCCCTGCACCCCTGCCGTCCGCGGAATTCGGGCCTGCGAGCCGGCCCGCCCCGTGACACTCCTCCGGAACCCCGAATCAGCCCCTCGCGGCAGCTCCCGGCACGCGCACAACTGCACGACTCTCTTGCCGGACCGTGCTGCTACCACTCCTCGCATCTCCAGCCGAGAAGGGCCTGCCGTCCACCCTCACCCCGTCTGCTTCCCGCCCAGCCATGCTACTTCCTTTGAGGCAGGGCTCTGAAAACACCACCTCGCTAGACTTTCCCCTCGACGCCAACCCGATCATTCGGAAACGAGTTCCAGCTATTTGCAGGTGCTGGACCATCACCGTATTTACGTTTCCCCCTGCCATCTCATGTTGTGTTTTTAATACCCCACCTTCTCAGATTCTTTTCTGCCTGCTTTTCAGGCTTTTGCTTCCTTTATTCCTCGTCTCCACATCCCTTTTTTTCCCTTCCCACGGAAACCGATGAGGTTCCATTTCTGGTTTCTAGTGGTTTAGGGTACATTGTAATTTGGGCAAAACATAAAGGAACAAAATCAGATTGAGATGGGCTTCCGTCTGCCAACACCACAGTCATAACTGTTTCAGGCAAGAACGTATCAATGAATGCACGTTCGTGAACGAAAGCTCCTGCGAAAACAGAATATTTACACACTTTCAAAGGCAATGCCCCTCAAGATACTTGCTAATTACAGACGGAGAAAATATTATTAAGTTTACTGGGAAGACACCTGGCAAACCACCTGAACTGTCAAAGTCAGCGTCGCCACGTTAGGAACAAATCGATGTCCTGTGTCACGTGTCTTTTGAGATGGTGCAGTTGAAAGGACACAAAGTCGCCTCTATGGTATTTTTCCCAAAAATGCCAAACTCACATTTATTCACAAAAAGCCAGCACACAGACCCAAATTGAGAAGCGTTCTACTAAACGATGGGTCAGTACTCTGTAAGCTTGTGAAGATCATGGAAGAGAAGAAAGACTGAGAACAACTCAGCCTGAGGATGGGTGGGACAGCAGGGGACTTGAAGGGAGTCTGGGGACAGAAGGACAGCACCTGTTTCAACCTTTGCCCCCATTCTAAGCATGGAGTGCAGACACCCTCCTCTGGAGGTCTGCAAGGTCACTACCAGTGCTCTTAGTCTGTGCTATTTTAGTTGGCGGGAGGTTTTTTTTTTTTTGAGGTATCGTTTTTTTCTTTTCTATCAGGCTAACATGCAGGGCACTCAAAAGTAACCGTCTGAAAGTGTAGAATACGGTGGCCTCCAGCCCACGGACGCTGTTGCACAACCATTTGGACTATTTTGGTAACTTAAAAAGTCCAAAGGTACTTCAAAATCAAACCTCAAAAATTAAAAACCTTGTGAAAAAAAAAAAAAATCTCAAGAGGAAAGCGGCTTTCCTTTCTGGAACTCAGCCTGGTCAATAACATTAACGGAGGCCATTTCCTTCTGTCCGGATGAGGCTCACCGGTCCAGCCAGCAAGGGGACACTTCAAGTGGCAAAAAACAGTAAAAAAAAGTCCTGTCCTGTCCCCCAGCCACTGTGGTGTCGGGGCCACTGGCCTCCGCCCCACCCCCACTCCGCCCCAAGTCAGCTCTGGGATGTCGAACCCGGTGCTCCCACCCCCCAGCCAGAAGGCAAGTGGGGCTGGGAGGGTGGGTGGTCTCAGCTGTACGCTGGTGGCACGCTGGGGACCCTTCCTGTGTGCCCTGACCACCCAGGCCCAGGACAAGGGTGGGGCAAAATGTAAGCGCCCCCCAACCCCGAACTCAGCAACCAAGATAAAGCTACATGATGCAATAATTAAAAACTTGAATCAGCACGAACCATGAGAGACGATGGACTCTGAAAAACAAACTGAGGGTTCTAGAGGCGAGGGGGGTGGGAGGATGGGTTAGCCTGGTGGTGGGTATTGTGGAGGGCACATTCTGCATGGAGCACTGGGTGTTATGCACAAACAATGCATCATGGAACACTTCATCTAGAACTAATGATGTAATGTATGGGGATTAACATAAGAATTAAAAAAAAAAAAAAAAAAACTTGAATCAGCAGATGGCTGCCAACTGTTTTGAGTACAGTTTTCCTGGAACCAGAGGACGAAGGGTTCCCCATGGTCCCGCCGGAGGCCCACCTACCGGCAGCAATGCTCCCACCCCCATGGGGCTCGCCCCAGCCAGAGGTCCCCCTGCTCTCCGCCCTCCCCTCAGGCCCCAAGGCCCCTCCAGCCCCTCACTTCTGTGTCAAGACATCCCTAAGGAATTGCAATGGCATGTGGGAACCACAGCCACCCAGCATTTGCACACCCCCAACACTCCAGTGGGGAAGCCCTGAAGAGCCTGAGAGAAGCTTAACCCTTCGGTGAACAAGAACATGCCACCGATCTGAAGTGAGCATCTCCTTCCGGGCAACCCCAGCCTCACAGAGAGGAAGGTCCAGGAAGGGGTCCTGAGAACCCTGAGCCCAGCCCAGTGGGTATATTGCAACCACACTGAGAAGAGAGGCATTTCCCCTGCACCTTCGAAGACAGGCTGGCAGGCAATTTCCAGAAGGTGCAGGTTCCAAGTTCTCCCCGCCTTAAAGCTTCAGCATGTATGACAAGGAGCTGATGGAAGAACGGACCCTGACTAAGCACCAAGCAACACATTCTGATGCATGACCAAGTTTCATGGAATCAAAGGCTCTCTGCTTCTGCACAGCAAAGGAAACCATCGACAAAATGAAGTGGCAATCGACCGAATGGGAGAAGATACTTGTGAACGACAGACCCAACAAGGGCTTAACATCCAAAACAGACAAAGAACTCATACAACTCCGTTAACAAAAAAAAAACAAACAACCAGCTTAAAACATAGGCACGGGATCCGAGTAGACATTTTCCAAAGACGACACAGATGGCCAACAAACCCGAGAAAAGATGCTCAACATCACCCATCATCAGGGAAATGCAAATCAAAACCACAATGAGATTTTACCTGGTTCTTGTCAGAAGAGCTGGGATCAAAGAGACAAGAAATAGCCCAGTGTTGGGGTGAGGCTGTGGAGAAAAGGGAACCCTCCCGGACTATTGGTAGGAGTACAGACTAGCGCAGCTCCTCTGGAAAACGGGACGGAGGTTCGTCAAGAAAGTTAAAATAGAACTACCCCACGACCCAGCAATGCAACTTCTGGGATTAACCTCACCCATGTGAAAAGACATATACACCCCTGTGTTCCTGGAAGGATTATTTACAACAGCCTCGATAGGAAAACAGCCAGAGAGTCCACGGTGATCGATGAACAGGTAAGGAAGATGGGGTATATATACACAGTGGAATATTCGCCACAAAAAATAACGAAATTCACAATAAAAAAGGAGAAAAAGAAAGAAAAGGCTCTCTGGGTCAAGTTTTTCAGTGCGTCAACGTGGTCTTGCAGACATCACCAGACATGCTTGACTACAGGACACAAAGAGTCCCCCCATCGAGGAATCTGGGAGCCACCAGCGTGGAAGGCGGAAATACAACGAGGACAGAGAAATCGACAAGCCATCGGACCTGGCTGATCTCATTCTGAACGTGCTCTGGAAAAATTTGTTTATGTACACCTGGCAAATACACGGGCAGAAATAGGCAGCCCCAGGGGCGGAGGGCACCTAGAAGGTGTTAGGTAGGAATGCCCTCCGGTCAGGAAAACACCAAGACTGGACCGAACTCAGGAATTCGACAAACAACCTGAAACTGACACACGGATCGTATTTACAAAGCACTAAAATCAGGGACGCCTGGGGGGCACAGTCGGTTAAGCATCTGACTCTGGGTTCTGGCTCAGGTCAGGATCTCAAGGTTGTGAGATCAAGCCCCGTAATGGGCTCTGCGCTCAGCTCACAGAGTCTCTTGAATTCTTTCCCCCTCTGCTCTGCTCTCTCTCTCTCTCTCTCAAATAAATCAAGGGGCGCCTCGGTGGCTTAGTTGGTTAAGCATCTGCCTTCAATGCAGGTCATGTCCCTGGAGTTCCGGGATCCAGCCCCCACTGGGCTCCCTGCTCAGTGCGGAGTCTGCTTCTCCCTCTTCTCCACCCCTGCTCCTGCTGTCTCTCTCAGATAAATAAACAAAATCTTCAAAAACAAATAAAGAAATCAAATCTGGGGTGCCTCGGTGGCTCAGTGGGTTAAGCCTCTGACTTTGGCTCAGGTTATGATTCCAAGGTCTGGGATCCAGTGCCACGTGGGGCTCCCCCCTCAGAGGGAAGTCTGCTTCTCCCTCCCCCTCTGCCCCTCCCCCTACTCATGCCCGCACCCCTGCTCTCTCTCTCCAATAAATAAATAAAATCTTTAAAAAAATAAAATCTTTTTTTAAAATTAAATAACAGTATGGAGGTTCCTCAAGAAGTTAAAAATAGACCTACCCTACACCCAGCAATTGGACACAAAAGTAGTGATCCAAAGGGGCACCGGCCCCCAATGTTTATAGCAGCAATGTCCACAATAGCCAAACTATGGAAAGAGCCCAGATGTCCATCAACAGATAAATGGAGAGAGATGATGTGGCATATGTACAATGAAAATTACTGAGCCATCAAAAAAGAAAAGGAAAGAAAAGAAAGAAATCTTGCCATTTACATCGACACGGATGGAACTAGAGCATATTATGCTAAGTGAAATAAGTCAATCAGAGAAAGACAACGATCATATGATCTCACTCATAAGTGGAATTTAAGAAACAACAGAGAGGATCCTAGGGGAAGGGAGGGAAAGATAAAACGAAATCAGAGAGGGAGACAAACCATAAGAGACTCTCCACTCTAGGAAACACACTGAGGGCTGCTGGACTGGACGGGGGTGGGGGGCTGGGGTAACTGGGTGATGGGCATCAAGGAGGGCAGGAGATGTGATGAGCACTGGGTGTGATACGCAACGGATGAGTCACTGAACTCCACCTCTGACACGGTAATATACGTTAATTAACTGAATTTAAATAAAATTAAAAATCAAGAAATGAAAATAAAAGCACTAAAATCAGAAAGGACATCCTTTTCAGGGGAGAAACACAGCAACGCTGTAGCCAAACCGGCTTCCAGGAAACTCAGCAGATCGCTGGGTGTGGAGAGCCTGGGCCTCCTGTCCTCCTCCGGCAGAGAGGACGACGCAGCCCCCAGCCCCACTTCGGACTTTGAGCCCCTCGGGGGAGCGGCGACACGCACGCCTGCACACTGCGGTGTGAGGCAATCCGATTCTCCGAGCTCGCGGTTTCCGGATACCGTATCAAGCATGATCATGGGTCCCGAGGCAGTGCCACAATCTCGGCCCCAACCCATTTCTGCGCGAACGTGGGCTGGCTGATAACACAGCCCAAGTGATCGGCAGCAGATTAAAGACGCCGCTTCCCGCGAAACTTGGCGCAGCCCCCTCCCCTCCCCGCTGCCAGCCGGGCGCCCCGCCAGCCCGGCTCCGTCGGCCCCGGGGGAGCGCGCGCGGCCTGCACGGCCTGCCCGGCCCCTCCCGGGCCCTCCCGGGCCCCGGGACCCTTCCCGCCCGCGGCCGGCCTGTCCGGGCACGCAGGGTCTCCGGGACCGCTCCACGCGCCTCGGCCGCCCCGCCCGCTCCGGCTCCCAAACCCCCCCCCGCCCCCGCTCCACCCGCCGCGCCGGGCCCCCCCCCGTGCCAGCACCCCCCCTTCCGCCACCGCTTCATGGGCCTGCCCTGCCCGCTCCGCGCGCCCCCCCGGCCCCAGGCCGCCCCGCGCAGCCCCGCGCGGCTCACCGCGGCTCCGCGAATCGGCGGCAGGGCGCACAGCCGCAGGGCGCACAGCCACAGGGCGCACAGCGCGCTCCGGCCGCCGCCCATCGCCGCGCCGCGCACTACACGGCCGAGGCCGGCTTCAGCCGGCTTTATTCCGCCGGCGCCCGGCGCCCGGGGCGGGGCGGGGCCGCAGGGGGCGGAGCCCGGAGGAATTTCCCTCCCGCGAGCCTATCGGAGCGCCGCGCCCCTGGTGGGCGGAGCCTCGCCTCCCGCTCGCGGCCGGACGGGCGGGCGAGGACGTAGACGGACGCGGCCGCGTCATCTCTAAGCGCCGGCCGTGGGCTCCGCGCCGGGACCCCGGTGCTGAGACGGAGCGGCCGCCTCTTCTGGGTCCGCCCGCAGCGGGGCTCCTCCTTCTGCCGCTGCCCCGCCGCCCCCTCGTGCGCGCTCTCTTATTTATTTATTTTTTTTTTAAAGATTTTTATTTATTTATTTGAGAGAGAGAATGAGAGACAGCATGAGAGGGAGGAGGGTCAGAGGGAGAAGCAGACCCCCCGCCGAGCAGGGAGCCCGATGCGGGACTCGATCCCGGGACTCCGGGATCATGACCTGAGCCGAAGGCAGTCGCTCAACCGACTGAGCCACCCAGGCGCCCCCTCTGTTTCATGGTTTTAAGTTTATTTATTTATTTATTTTATTTTTTAATTTTTTTATTTTTTTATAAGTTTATTTATTTTTATTTTATTTTATTTTTAAGATTTTTATTTATTTATTGAGAGAGATAGTGATAGAGAGAGAGCACGAGATGGGGGAGAATCAGAGGGAGAGGCAGACCCCCCGCCGAGCAGGGAGCCCGATGCGGGACTCGATCCCGGGGCTCCGGGACCTTGACCCGAGCCGAAGGCAGTCGCCCAACCGACTGAGCCACCCAGGCGCCCCCTCTGTTTCATGGTTTTAAGTTTATTTATTTATTTATTTTATTTTTTAATTTTTTTATTTTTTTATAAGTTTATTTATTTTTATTTTATTTTATTTTTAAGATTTTTATTTATTTATTGAGAGAGATAGTGATAGAGAGAGAGCACGAGATGGGGGAGAATCAGAGGGAGAGGCAGACCCCCCGCCGAGCAGGGAGCCCGATGCGGGACCCGATCCCGGGGCTCCGGGACCATGACCCGAGCCGAAGGCAGTCGCCCAACCGACTGAGCCACCCAGGCGCCCCCGCGCTCTCTTATTTATTAATTTGGCAGAGCGAGCGAGCACCCCCGAGCGGGGGGAGCGGGGAGCCGACGACGGCGTGGGGAGGGGGCGGCTCGGGTTTCGGGGGACAGAGCTTCGGTTCGGGAAGGTGGAGAGTTCCGGAGTCGGACGGCGGGGATGGGTGTGCGACCGCACAGACGTCCTTAAGGCTGCGCAGCTGGGCACCCAGCACTGGGTCAGATGGAAAATGTTACGCGTTTTACCGCAATAAAAGCAGAGTCATTAAAGAAAAACCCAGCAGAGCAGCTCTGCGGCAGCGCGATGTCCGGCGCACCCGGGGCCGGGCGGCGGGGTCTCGTCTCGCGGACACACGAGGCCGAAGTGATAGTTCAGTAAGCGCCGCTGAGAACCGGACGAGAGCTCGAGGGCGACAGCGGTGCGGGACGGGCCGCCACTGGGGGCGCTCCTGCTGGGTCTTCTCCAAGGACCACCACCCGGAGCTCCAGTCGTGCGATGTCCCCGCGGAGCGGCGCGACCGCGTCTCCGTTGAACGTGTCGTCGGAGGTTTGAGGCCGACGAGGGGTCTGGGTGGGGTCGCGTGTCTCCGCTCTCGTCGGCCTCAGCGTTTGTGCAGTTTCTGCTGGGCCCCGCCGTGTCGCCCCTCCCTCTGTGTCCCCGCGGAGCCCCGCCGCTCCCTTACCACCTGTGCAGCACCCGCCTCGAGGAGCGGAAGGGAGACAGACCTCGGCCTGAGCACCGGTTTCAGGAGGTGGGGCAGGCTCCCCAGCCGGCTGTCTAGGTACGCTCCCCGGGGCGCAGTCAGACTGAGAAAAGAGACTTTTACTAGTTTCAAGACCTTCGGCAACATGACTTAGCATTTCTGTGTCCTGATGAATAACGTTTCCTCCTAGAGCACGACTCCGTCGCGTGTCTGGGGGGACGCCCAAAGCGCTACCCCCCAACTGTTTCAAAGCCCAGACATCGGCCAGAGCGGTGGGCAGGAGAAAAAAGGCATCCAGACTGGACAGAAGCAGCAAAACTCTCTGTTCAGAGAGGTCACCACCTTACTGCAGAAAACCGTAGAGATGCCACTGAGCAAACCACAGTCCGTTGGAGCTAATAAAGTCTGGACCGGAGCCTGATGGGGTGGACCATCATATCCCACAATCTCAGAGGCAGCGATTGGTGGGGCTCTGCAGAGTGGGGCCATCACAGCCAGAACTGAGGCCCGCAACGCAGCCCACTTTGGGGGCAACCTGTCCTGCGCAGGTGCGCTGGGCTGGGCGGGAGGGAGCTGGGCTGGGCCCCAGGCCCCCTGGGGTGGGCCTCCTGCAGGGGGCAGGGGAGGCAGGGACCCAGGCCTCATGGGGCACAGCCACTGCGGACCAGGGCGGGGAGTTCCCCCAGAAGCCCCAGGAAGCGAGCACTGGAGCGATCCCCATGCGCATCCCTGGCCTCGAATGATCCAGTCACAATTTGAAAACTAAAACTGCTTGAAAGCATGGCTCAATTCGGAGGCTCTATCCTGGGGCGGAATCAGGAAACGATGGAACGACCCCAGGTGTGACTGAGTCTGGTCTGGAACACTCCAGCAATCCCAGGGGAAGGGGGATTGCTTCCTCTGAAATAAGGCTAATGTGAGGACAAGGTGCAGCAATGTGGGAGGGAGGCGAACAGGACACCACCCCTCCCCAGCTTTTATGATTTTATTTTAATTCCAGGATCGTTAACATACCCTGTCATACTAGCTTCAGGAGTACAATGTCGTGATACTTTTAAAAGAATGAAGCATGATCTGAGCTCCAGAGCGCCAGCTTCCGGGAAGACCTGCTCCCCAAACCAGACAGAGGGGAGTGGTTTGGATGCTGCCCACTTGCAGTCACATTTGGTTGACGCAGGCAGCCGGGTCCGAGAACCCAGAGGGAGTCCCGCAGGACCAGCCCAGCGGGTCCCCGGCACCGTGCAGGATAGAAGTCAAAACGTGAGCCAGCAGGAGGCGAGCAGAATTTACTGACGGTATGGAGAGAGGACAGGTACAGGCAGTGTCTGGGAGATCCAGAAAGGAAAGGAGAGAGCGCCTCTTCTTTGCTCAGGGTCTGTGGTTTTTATCGAGGATTATGGACTGGTGTACCTGTCCTCTCTGGAACTAGTTAGAACCAGGACAAGGGCCCAGGTGTCCTTCATAAAACAATGATTGCTTGGGACCCTGGGGGCTCGGTGTGGAGTTGTCCAGAGCCGGTGGTCTGGAATGTGCCTACGATGGCTTCACCCAGTCCTTCCTTAGGTGTTGTCTGTTGTGCTGGAAGACTCTAAGGAAATCATGAGCTCCTTGTCCTTACAGGGAGGACAGACAACTATCTGCACTATGAGGCCTGTGTGAAGTGGGGGTTCAGGTCCTCGCAAGAGTAGAAGCAGGTAAAGGAGCAAAACCCAGAATTTTATGGTGTCCTCATGGTGAAGCCCGCACCTCTTGGTGAAGCCCGGTTCAGGGTGTGTGTCCCCAGACAACCACAATTTCTGCTTTGCCGACCGGAGCGTGAGGTTCCCGTGCTGTGGCTGACGGCCCTGTTCCTGCTCAGCTTGAATTCAGGTTCCAACTGACTTTTTAGATTTAAAACAATCTCCCCCATCTCTGAGGGAAAAAAAAAGACAAACCTCAAAAAGAAAGTGTTGTAGGGTCGGCCTTATCATCTAGGACAGGACTTGGGGTTTTCTTGGTTTTGACACTGTTTGACAAGTCTTAGTCAGAAGAGGGGTGACAGCACATGGCGTTAGAAGTACTTAGAACCACAGAGAGGGTTTGAGCTGACGAAAAATGGATGTGTCAAAAGTGAACACACACATCCACACCAAAGCTTGTACACAGATGTTCGTGGCACCTTTATCCACAGTAGCCGAAGAGTGGGTACAGGCCCAACGCCCTTCACAGGGGGCATGAACAAATACAAGGTGGCACCACACACTCCCCACACAGGAAGAGGTGGGGCAGGGTGGACAACACCGATCCGTCTTTGGCCTCCGTCCTGTTCAGCGAGTCCTGTTCAGCGAGGATCGAGGATCGTCGACTGCTCCACCCCCCCGGCAGGGAGTCGCCCTGAGCAAACTGAGTAAACCGTGGGGATGGCCGGCTCCGATTTCTGGTCTCAAAGTGCCTTCTCAGTCTGGGGGATACCTTGCCTCCCGCCCCTGCCACAACATAGGGGCACCTGAAACATTACCTGAACGAAGCCAGACACAGAAGGACACCTGTTGCATGATTCTATTTATGGAAATGTCCCAGTAGGCCAATCCGGAGAGACAGAAAATTGATTGGTATTTTCCAGGATCCGGGGCAAGTAGGGGGGGGGGGCGGGCAGAGTGAAGCGCTAGGATTGGAGGAATGGGGAGCGATTGTTTCACGAGTACTGGGGGTTCTTGAACGTCTGCAGCGGGTCTCCTCATCTGTGGAAGAGGGATGAGAACACTTGCTGCGGAGGCCTAAGCAGGGGTCAGAGGTCGGAGGACCTGCTCAGTGTATGGCAACGGTCATGCCTACTGAGGCCCCTGGGCTCACTACCCCCCACCATCCCCTAACCCTCCTACGACGTTGTCCAGGGCAAGGACCCCGGAACGCATGGAGGGAGCCGGCAGCTGCCTGTTGCCCCCATGCTCGGGGCTCCTCGGGGGACCTCCCAGTGCTACCCAGACCCGCTTGCTTCTACTGAAAGTTCCTGCTACTAGAAGTTGCTGGTGATCCATCCAAGGGGATGAGAAGTCAGCGTGCGGTGACCGTCACCATGTCGCTGGGGAAGTGCATCTCCTTCCTGCCCTGGGGTCCCGTGGGGGGGCAGGGCGGGCCAGAGGCTCATTGCCTCCTGGGGCACCCTGCACTCCCATGCTGCAACCCTCCCAGCCGGGGCTGGCACCGACGGCCCCGGGGCCATCCAGGCACATTTCAAGGGGGCCGGGAAGGGCAGTACTGGCTAGGGGGGTGGGAGGTGCAGTACTGGCGAGGGGGGTGGGAGGCGCAGCTCTGGACATCCACATCAGCCTAGAATATCATCACTGGTGTCTATATACCCAAGAGTTAACAACCCAAAGGACCCAGAAATCCTGCCCGGGCTTGTACTATTTCCAAGCGCCCTGGGACGCCCTGGTCACCACCCATCTGGGCATTGGGCCAGCTATTCCTGCGGGGTTATGCCCACCCATCTTTCTTTTCCTTGTTGCTTTGGCAGAACTTTTGGCATACCAAGGACATAAACAGAATTCTGAAAGGGATTCTGAGGCTGCTGTGCGGCGTGGTGGTGGAGCTGGTGAGTCAGGCCACACGTGGGTGGATCGGTAAGAGGAGGTGGCCCCGAGCTTCCTCTTAGAGCAACCGGCCCTGGTATCGAGATGTGGAAAGCTAGGACCTCAAGGGCACCCATTCTCCAACAGTGGGTGGCCCCTACACGGGGGGGAGGGGGGGCAGGGCCAGTCTGGGGGCACCGCCCTCCGCCGGGTGATCCAGTCCTGGAGCCCATTCTGCCCAAGGCAGCCAGCCACAGGGCCTGGAGGGGCAGCACCCACCTGCCCCTTCCTCTGCCCAGCCCGAGCCCCACCCTGTCCTGAAGCGCAGGGGCTGAGGCGGAGAGGCCGCGAGGGAGGGGGTGCCTGCACCCTGCCCCCCATCCTCCCCCGGATCCGTCCTCAGGGCCTCGGGTCCCTCCCGGCAGGCCCCTGCTGGCATTGCATCTCTCCCTGGGAAGCCACCCCCGTTTCCAGAAGCCCCCAAGAAGACAACACAAAGTGTGTGTGTGCCGTTTATTTCAAGGCCTGGAGCACAGACACGTCCCCACATTGCCGGCAGGGAACGAGAACATGGATACAAAATCTGGAAAATGGGACGGTGGGTCCCGGTGGCACCTCCCCCACATAATTTAAGGCTCGGTGTGTATCTACAGGTGCATGTGCAGATGCTCACGCGCACACGCACGCACACACGCACGCACACGGCGGCACTTGACACAGAAACAGGCGAGACGCCAGACGCTGCTTGCAGCCTGCCTACGATATTGCAATTGCGTTTATTAAAAAAGTGTAAAACGGGAGGACCGTGGATCAGTCCCAGTAAAGTGGCAAACCTGGGCTTCCCCGTCCCAGGGAGTGCTGGGGCCCGTGCGGCCGCCCCCTGCGCACCCCTGCCCTCGCACGCACAGCTGTGCCCAGGTACAGCTGTGCCCGCTCCCCTTGGCATGCCCAGGCTGTGCAAGGTGAGGGTGGGTTCCATTGGTGTATCGTGGGGGTCCCGTCCACCCAGCACAGAAGCAGAGTAAAATCCAAATGTTCCCTCTGCAGTAGCTCCAGTCTACCCTAGAGTCCAAGGGAGGCCCCTCTTAGCGTGACCCGGGCAGTGTGGGCAGGCTCTCAGGATGGACAGCCCTCTGCATCAGGACAGAGGAGGCTCTGGGAACCTCTGGGACTCACGGCTTGCTCCCCCAAAGCTCCCCACTCACCCCGGCTGGGGAGTGACCGCGCAATGCCTGGGCAGGCAGTCCGCCCCTGCCTCCGACGCTCCCACGGGACAAGTGGATGCTGGACCGGGAACGAGCAGGCAAGTTGACCAGGGGGCGAGAGGCATGACGAAAGCTGCACTTGGCTTTAGCATTAAGGCCGGCACTGGGTGGAGGGTCCCACAGGGAAGGTCAGCACCTCCCCTGGAGGAGCCAGTGTGGCCCCCCAGGTCCCTCCTACTATCCTCCTGCTGCCGTGGGCCCCTCTGTCCACAGTGGCCATGCTCGCCATCTCTCTCTTGCCTCCCCGGGCTGGCTGAAAGTGCTAGGTGCCTGGGAGGGAGAGGTGGGCCTGGACGCCCACGCTGTCCCCAAAGGGCTCTCATTTGAGAATGAAGTTAATGAGCAGCTGACACGCCAGGAACACACAGAGCAGGAACCAGGAGCGGGGGTTCTGCAGGAGGCCTGGCGCCGGCACCTGCCTGGCCCTTGCTGTGGAGCTCAGCATGGCTGAGAGGTGCCTGCAACGACGGGAGGATGGTGGCTGAGCCAGGGTGGGCGTGCATCCCTACCTTCAATGGATGGCTTAGTACGCAGGGGTCCCTGGGCACAGATTCCAGGGAAAGGGGCTCATGGCTGGGGGAGCTGGGCCTCTTGCAGCCTCTTTTCCACTCGTGCTATGACGGGCTGAGCTGGACCACCCTGCCCCAATAGTCTCATGTTGGAGTCCTGACCCAACAGGTCAGATGTGACTCTATTTGGAGAAGGGGTCTTTAAGAAGCTATTCAGTTTAAGTGAGATCATGGGAGTGGGCTCTAATCCAGGGTGACCGGGGTCCTTATAAGAAAAGGACATCAGGACACAGACCTGCACAGAGGGACGACCCCGTGAAGAAGGACCCAGGGAGAGCACAGCCGTCCACACACAAGGAGAGAGGCTTTGGGGGAATCCGGCCCTGCCGGCACCTGCATCCCAGGTGTCGGACTCTGGGACCGGGGGACAGTGAACGTCTATTGCATAAGCCCCCGTCTGTAGACTATGTCAGGGCCACACCCAGGACACTTGTATCCTCGCCCTGGACTCTGGCTGTACTGTGTGTCTGCAGAAATGTCTGGCTGTTCTCCTGGCTCTCTGCTTCACGGCTGGCCTCCTCTGTGGTGCCAGGCGGCTGACTCACTCTGACTCCAGTGCGGCTGGGCCAGCCCATGCCTGGACTTCTGGCCCCCAGCTGCTATTTCCCTGTACAGAGCTCAGGGGCTGGCTCATCCTGTTTAAGCAAGCCCCCCTACAGTGTGGCACCCTCAACTCCCGCCCCATCCTCCACCAGCCTGCCCAGGGTAGAGCTGGCTGCCTTCTTCCTGTCCTCCATCCATCAGACCCTCTGCAAACCCCCAGGGTTCTAGTTCTGAGTGACACACGGCCCCCTGGCCTCTGCAGCTCCCTGGCCCCGTCCCCGGGAGCGACACTTACCTGTGCAGCTCCTGCTGGGCCTCCCGGATCGACAGGATGGCCTCGTGCAGTGCCTGCAGCCGCCGCGCCTCCTTCCCGCACCGTGGGCATGGGCTCCCGCCGCCTGGGATGTCCAGCCACCGGTCACGGGACCCAGGGGACAGGGGGTGGAGGGAGAATCAAAGACAAGCCGGCATGTCTGGGGAGCCGGCACGCGGGGTCCCGGGGTCGTGCCCGGCTTGGCCCCTGCCCCACCTCTCGGGAGCCTTCAGGTGAAGCTAACAACACGGGGAGTCGAGGGGCAGGCATAGAGGGAACCCCCAAGCTCAGCTGCCCTCTAATAAGCCCTGGGAGACAGAAATGGCAAGGCACAGCTCATGCACCTAGAGACGGGGACAAAGTCGGGGAGGAGCCGGCACACCCATGAGGACGACAGGAGGCACAATCAGATGGTCAGCCCTGCCCCTTGCACCGACCCTGCCAGCCAAAGGGGGCGCCGCGCCGTATGAGTGCAGGGCTGGGGACCGCTGCCCTCCGCAACCCTGGTCTGCCCCTGGGCTCAGGGAGGCGTGGAGGACCCTGGGAGGACGGTCAAGGTGCGCCATACACCTGCCCAGGGAAGGTGCTTCTCTGGCTTTCTCCCACCCTGCAGAGTAGCCGGCCCGGGAGGGCTCACCGGAAATGAAGTCGTGGCTGTCCCCCTCCCCCTCCTCCTCCTCTTCCTCCTCCTCCTCCTCCTCCTCCTCGTCTGAGAGCTCTGGGCAGGACTCGGGTGTGGAGCTGCTCTCGGTGACCTGGCTGTGGCCAGAGGGCTGGTCGCTGGCCTTGCGGAGCCGCCGGTCTGGGCCAGGCCCCTGAAGAGAGACGAGCCACTGCAGCCGGGGGCTCACCCAGGTCCACCACAGCTGCGCCCGCGGGGCCAGGATGTGCCGGCCTTGGGGACAGGGCCGCTCTAGAAGATGTGGCTGTGGACGGTTCTGACTCGGGGGCCATGACAGCAGGTCCCGTCCCACCGTCTGAGCTGACAGCTAGGCCTCCCCCAATGCTGAGGGGACCTCTCCAGCGGGACCTCCGATAGCTCCCCAGAGCACAGGGGTGGCCGAGCCGTGGCTGACTGGAGGGGGTGAGGGGGATGCGGGGGCATCCAGGTGGGTGGGGGCCTGTGGAGGGGGTGGGGCCGCCCGGCCTGAGGGGCTACAGCAGGTGGGGGGGGACGACACATGGGCAGTGAGATACTGTGACCCTTGCTTGCTGGGAAATTGGGGCCACCGGGCAAGAAGGGTCATGCCCGTTCTGCCCGCGTGATCACTGGCCTCCCACCATGTGCAGGGGAGGCAGCTGGCCTCACACAGAACCTGTGGCCTCCGCCCACGTGGCACCAGGGAGGACACGCCAGGCCTCCTCACAAGTTGCACCCTGGTGTTTGTCTCAGGAGACCTCTTGCAGGCCTCCTGGAGCCTCCCCGCTTCCCGCCCTGCCTCCCCTCAGCACCCCTGCAAATGCAGGCTCCGCCTTCTCCTGGCTGAGCAAGCCCCCAGGCTGCCCTGAGCCTCAGCTTCCTCCTCTGCAGACTGGCACCGTGTGCTCTTGGCACCACGGAGGGCGGCTCCAGGGAGCAGGGGGCCCGGCTGGGCGGGGGGGGGGGGGGAGTGCGTGGGGGAGGGGCAGGCAGGTAAGAGTGAGGGTGGGAGAGACGGCCTGACAGTCCCCTCCTACTGCGGAAGTTGACCCCGGGCAGGGACCCTGGGGGAGCTGACCTGGTGCCTGGGCCCCAGGCTGCCCAGGAAGGTGGTCTGGTGGGCCATGGTCTCCCGCCGCACTGTGTGCAAGACCCCATCTTGCTCAAACTGGGCGATGTCCTTCAGGGGGTCCCAGGGGCTACGACTGGAGGGTCCAGAGGGCATCTGTTGGCAGGGGCAGTGGCCCCTGGGAGGAGGGGGCCCCATCTCGGCCCAGCCCCAGCTTCCCAGCAGTGGCCAGAGCCCCAGAGAGGACCTACTGCCGGGGCCGGCCAGTGAGCCCCCACAGGAACCCCTCCTCCCCCATCACTCGCCCCTCCAGGGGAGCCCCCCAGCCGCACTCACTCCTCATGCCGGTAGCGCCACTCCTGGGTGGCGGGGTCCAGCCGGAACAGCTGTGGTTTCCAGGGCACGAGGTTCTGCTGGCGCTCGCGGATCCGCTGCCGCTGCATCTCCTCCAGTGAAGACTTCTCCTGTGTGGCCTTGTGCTGGTCGCCCTCGCCGATGGCCCTGGTGACGTGCTGCCAGAGCCTGGGGGTGGGGCACCTGCTCTGAGCAGGTGATCTGGACGGTCCCACCCCCTGGGGGCCGGAGGGGAGGCTTAGAGAGCAACCTCCACTTGCTTGCCTCTAGGGACAGGGAACTCACTCTCTCCTGGGGAGCCTGAGTGTCTTAGAGCGCTGGTGATTCAAAGTGAGGTGGTTCTCCTCGACCCTGAGCTCATACCCCCACCGGCAGGGTACTCCCTGTGGAGCAGCTGGGCATCTGCTGTTCCCAGGCCTCATTCCCTCTCCCTCAGCTGCCCCAGCAGGACATGGCGTCTGTCATGGGGGGGTCCCCTCTGGTCCACCCCTCCCTGCCAGGGGCACCCCAGGTCACGCTCGCTGCACGGAAACCCTGCCCAGCCACGCCAGACCTGGGTCTGGGGATCCGACAGGTGCCCGCGGGCGCCTCACCTCTCCGACTCCAGCTCTGTCTGGTCTTCCAACAGCACCGTGTGCCTCTTCAGCCTCTGTCCCCGGACCTCCCTGCTCGGGTTCCAGAAGAGCTCCATGCTTCCTCGGCCCTCCTCCTTGAGGAACACTTCTCGGTCCTGCCCCAGACGGCCCAGGCAGGAACAGAGAGGTTGGCCCCGTGGCTGTTCCTATGCCCGCGGGCCCGCCTGTGCCTGCCCCGGACGGCAGCCTCTTACCCAGTGCCCGCTGAGACGCGCGACGACCTCCTCCCCTGACGTGATCTTCCCCAAGATCTGGTTGATGCTGGTGCTGCCCCCAAAGAAAGGCTGTGGGGACACCCCGAGACAGGGCTGGTGAGGGGCCGGCGGCCTCCCCAGCGCCCTGGCGCCCGCAGTGAGCTGGGGAGGAGGAGGCCCCTTCCTCACGAGGTGCCGGCTCTCAGCCCCTGGGACGTGGGAGGCCGGCCTGGATGGGACCCAAAGCTGGAGGCTGCCACACTCGCCCAATGCCTCAGCTTGAGCTCAAGGATGCAGGGGGCCTACCAGGCCTGTGCGTCCCATGGCTGGGAAGGGGTCTGGGCCTGTCCTGGCTCCGCTGTGCGGCCTGCAGGAGCCCCTTCCTCTCTCTGGGCCCTGGCTATGCTACGGAGAGCCGCCCCCCCCTGAGTGCATCTGCTCCAGAAACCATCCCTGGGGCGCGGAGGGGGCCCCCCCGGCCCGAGCCCACTCTGCTCAAGGCCCTCCAGTGGCTGAAGTGCTACCTTGAGCTTGAATTCCAGCTCAGCTTGGAAGTTGGTCTTCTCACACTCGATGGTCACTCTCCCGCCCAGCTCCATGGTCATGGCGCCATACAGGATCCCTGAAACACAGTCTCCTGCTCAGTCCTGGCACTGCGTCCCCACACAGCACCGCTGACCCGGAGGAGGCCGGTGTCAGAGCCTGGGGGAGAGGACAGGAGCCCCCGGGGGCAGAGTCTCTGGGATGGAGAGGAGCTGGTGGGGGCGGGAGGCAGAACCCGGCCCACGCATGTTTCCTCAGTGACCCTCTGCCCCCAGGGCCTCTGCCCGAGAGTTGCTCTGTCCAGGGAATGTCCTGCCCTTGGCAGGTTCCTTCCTCCAGGACACCCTTTCCAGGCTCCCAGGGGCCCCACTGCCCCCATGAAACGCTCATTACCATCTGTCATTTGCTCTGTAGTTCGGGCCCCAAGGTGGGCTCCTCCATCTTCCCTGCTCGCTGCTGCGCCCAGGACTGGCCCGGTGTGTTTGTTTAAACTAATACATGCATTATATATATATTTATTAAAGATTACACTCATCTATTTATTTGACAGAGAGAGAGCACAAGAGCAGGGGGGAGGGGCAGAGGGAGAAGCAGACTCCCCGCTGAGCAGGGAGCCCGATGCCGGACTCCATCCCAGTACCCCGGGATCATGACCTGAGCAGAAGGCAGACGCTTAACCGACTGAGCCCCCCAGGCGCCCCTAATACAAATATTTTTTAATTAATGAAAGAAAGAACGAATCTTATGTTTCTTGCCATGTGGAGGACTTAATCTAACTAAAGAGAAGAGCTGTGTGTATTATAAAACACTTGGACGTGTGGGATAGAATGAAAAGATAAAAAAGGCAAGCCCAGGGAAAGAGCAGAAGGGCTGGGGGTGCCCCCAAATCCCACCAGTGCACAGGATGGGAGCCCCATGCTCCTGCGTGCGGCTTTCCCCGGGAGCCGTCCAGGATGCTCGAAGTGGGAGAGGCAGCTGGAGGGCAGGGGGTGCGGGGATCGAGAGAGAGAGAGAGAGAGAGAGAGAGAGAGAGAGAGAGAGAGAGAGAGAGACACGCCAGCTTTCTCTGACTACACCTGCTTTTGTAGTTTCGAACTTTGGATCCAGGTAAATACTGCATTTCCATAATGACCTACAAAATGAAATCACAAAAGCAACTGGGAGCAAAAGGAAAATGAAACAAAACAAAAAGGAAGTGGGTGTCTGCCTGGTGGTGTGATACTGGAGGGGGGTTATTCCTGCTGAGTTTACAAATCCCATTGGGGTATGCTTAGGACAAATCAATCCCCAAAAGGAAACGGCGGCTTCCGGCTGTTTGCAGCCTCGGCTTGTTGGGGGTAGGGCTGGTTAGTGTTACTCTGACTGTGTGTGGGAAGTGGTTAAGGGAGAGTAACAACAGCCCAGAGCGGTGTTGTTTACAAAGGGGCTTTCCCGCCAGGGTTGGGGGTGGGGAGGGGGGACGCAAGGGGAGAGGGGGGAGACGGTTCAGCTGTCAGGCCAATGGGTTACAGACACCCACCCTCTTGGATCCGGATTGGAAACCTGTAAACTCATGATCCATTTTAATCTTAAAAAAAAAAAGATGCTTATGTTTCTTTTACTGGAAAGTTTTAGAAACAATGACAAAACCACTCTTAAGAAACAGATCTGGTTTGCGGTCTGTGACAGGAAGTGGGCTCTTGTGACAGGAAGTGGGCGCTTTGAGTTGAAAACATTGTCAGACAACATTCCAGGCTAAGAAGTCATCAAAGAGCCAGGGTGAACCCTCAACAAACAAACAAGGACAAGAGCATCCCGCTGAGGGCACCGGCCGGGGCTCTGCCCTCCTGGTGGGTGGGGGGCCTCTCACCTTTACAGTGGGCATAGGGCATAGTGAGGGTATAGTCCTCTGCCAGGTTCAGGAAGGTGAGCGTGGCCTTGCCGTCCAGCAGAGCCGACAGCGAGTTCCCTGGAGGGATGGGGTGGTGGTGGGTGGGACCAGTGAGCAGACATGGGACCTCAGGACCCGGGGGCCCACCCCCTAAGTCACACGGTCTGAGCTCCCTTCTAGCAGGTGCAAAGCATTCCCGGTCCCTCCAGCCGGGTGACCGTGGGGCAGCTGGGCCTCTCACCTAAGCTGTGGGTCACTTCACCTCCCTGACACTCAGATTCTGGAAAAGCGCCCTGACCCAAGGCGCACAAGGCCCGGCTCCCAGGGAGGGCTTCTGAGGCTAGAGGCTGCATGCAAACCCCTGCTCTGATTGTCACCCCCCCACCACGGAACTCCTGTGGCCCCGGAACGGTTCCGCTCTGTGCTGACACAGCACATGTGATGTGGCCGGGCCAACCGCGCAGCAGGGTCTTATCACGCAGGTTCTCGCCCACAAGCGGTGCCCCCTCTACGGCTCGGCGGGGGGGGGGGGCTGCGGGCTCTGCCTGGCTCCAGGTCCCTGACCCGGAGAGGTGGGGAGGGAGAGAAACCTGGCCACCGCATCCGGGGGCCCAGTCCTCCCCCCATCTCCCCCAGGCCCCGGGAGATCCCAGGGGAGCCCCGCCCCCCACTCACCGTAAAACCGGGACTTAGCCGCGATGCTGCCACTAATGCAGAAGCCGTCCTTCCGGTTGCTGACGTGGAAGGCGGACACGGGAGGGTGGTGGGACACCTGCGGGCAGAGAGGCACTCTGGAATGGCCCCGGGGGAGGAGAGAGCCCGGCTCCCTGATGAGCAGCCCCCCTCCCCCTGCCCACCTTGTCCCTCCGGGCCCCCGGAGTGGCGCGGGGCCATTCCCGCTCTCACTGCTGCTTAGGGAAGCGGACACTGAGTCGTGGGCCTAGTGGCCATCTGCAGAATGCCCTGGGGGGACGGGATGCACGGACCCCTCCCGAGGAAACCCTTCCTGCTGTCACAGTGCTGGGCCTGCATCTCCTGGGGGAATCTCAATGGGTGGGGGGGGGGGCACCCAGAATGCGCACAGGGCTCAGACTCTGCCGGCTGAGGAGCCCGGTGTCCAGCCTGGGGGCGGTGGGGGCCTTGCCTGCTCCGCTATGTAGAAGGTGTGGCTGTTGGTCTGGGGATGGAACCAGCAGCAGCGGAAGGTCTCCCCCAGGATGGGGTTGTAGGGCTTCTTGATCCCCTGCAAGCAACAAATGGAAAGCTCATGTGAGGAACCAGGTGGGCCACGGACCCATGTGGGATAGGGTGTGGACCGAGGGGCAACGTGGGAGGCTGGCTGCCCATTGCCCACACCCCCAGGTGCCCACAGGGAGGCGGTCTCTAGATGGGAGGGCCTGGTTTGCCACCAGCACCTGGGGACTGCACCCCACTGTGCTCTGGGGAGAACATGCTTTGCCCGTGGTTCACATTCTGAGGGGCAGCCTATGAGATGTCCTGTCTGGTTCTTGGCTCCCAGGGGGACCTGAGACCCTCCCTAGGTCGTGCTGTCCCTGAACTTTGGACGGAACTGGTGCACAATCTGTTCAAGGCCCCAGTGGCTTCTACTGACCGTTTCATAAAATCCCAAATCCCACAGGCCTTCTCCCCTGTCCCCCGCCTCACCTTCAGCCCCGCTCACCACCTTTCTGCTCCCCAAATGGCCCAAGCTCCCCCCACTCAGGAGAGCCCTCCTTCTGGGGCTCAGACCCCCTGGTCAGGTCGGAAGCAGCCGGCTGCCCCTTCGCGCCACCCGCCAGGCGCATCACTTCCAGCCGTGTGTGCGTGCGCACGCGTGTGTGAATCTGTGTGTGCGTGTGCACACGTGCGCTTCCCCCTGGAAACGAGGCTCCATGAGCACTCAGTGCCTGCAGATGCCCAGGGAGGACACCTGCTGCCGCCCTTGAGAACCGCGTCTGCGCTCGGGCCTAAGTGTGACTCTGGGCCATCGCTCGCCCGCCCCTGCCCAGCCCTGGGCCTCAGTTCCCCACATGCACAGTGAAGTGGAAACAGAACGATGCTATCACGCTCGCACAGCCCGGAACCACCGGGTGCCACGGTGGCCAGGGGAGGGGGTGGGGCTGCGGGCCCCTCCCCCCAGCACCCTGCGCTCAGCAGAGCCTGAGTTTTGGGTTCTCAAAAAGTCTCTATGACTACGAGACACACCATGAAAACCACAGGTCCCAGGGGCTCCTCCAGGTGCAGGGTCGAGAGCCCCTTTCCCAGCACCGCTGTGTGTGGTCGCTGTTTCTCTGAGGTGTGGAGGTCCCGCTTGGGCCCTGCAGGGAACTGGGACCACCCCTGTGGGCCTGGCCTGGCTAGGAGGACCCTGGGTGGTAGGTCAGGGTGCTGCCCCCATGTCTGAGGACTGGGGGCCGCGGCGGGGACCGTGTGGGGTCAGGGTGGCCCCAGGCTCTCCGAGGGGCAGGGAGCTATGGGGCCGGGGGGACGGCGCGCTGGGCCTCCCTTCTCACCTTGGGCTTCTTGTAGAAACCAGACAGATACCACTGCAGCACCAGCTTGATGCGGCTGTAGGCGTCCCCCTCCAGAGCAGCCCTGGGACAGCACGGGAGAACGACTCATCCCGGGCCGGGTCCCCGGCCACCCTCTTCCCTATCCTCCTTCCATCCCGCCCTCCACCCGCTGGTCACGGGCCCCTCCTGTCCTGCCCAGCCCCAGGGCCGTGGGGAGTCTCCCAGCCTCCCACAGGGACCCGAACTCTCCACCTAACCAGAGGGCCTGGGCAGGCAGGGTGTTGCCGGCTCAGGGCTGGCAGGGTGCCTCTGCCTTCAGGAAGGCCTCCGGGAGCTCCTCTGCATGGGCTCTTTCCAGCCTTTCCAGCCTTTGGGCTTCAGCTTGAGGGCACTGAGGCCAGGGCCCAGAACTCAGGACACCAGAAGGTGCTGGGGGCTGCCCACACTCACCTTTGATGGTGGGGCCCTGACCTGACATGCAGCTGCCCTCTCCCCCCCCACCCCGCCCCCATGAGCTGCTCCTGGTCTTAGAGACTGGGCCCACTAGCAGGCTGAGCCAGCAGGGACCATGGATGGAGCTCAGCCCTGGGCCCCAGGGCCCCTCCGGAAACATCCATGGCCGGGGGGGATGGGTAGGGGCAGGGGCCAAGGGAGGCTGGGGTCTGTGGTGTGCATGGGTGCGTAGGGCACCCCCGCTCGCTCACCTGGACAGCAGGTCAGCGTGGTAGTAGTAGTCAGAGAGCTTGTCGAGGAAGGAGCGGGGCTCTAGGACGAACGTGGGCAGCACCACGCGGGACAGGTCCATGCCCGGCCGCAGCTGCCTCAGCAGGACCCATATGAGACTCTTGTTCTCTTCCGACACGGTCTCTACCTGGGATGCCTGGCCCAGCTGCTGGCAGAGGGGCTGCGGTCAGGCCCCAGCTCCGCGCCGCCCGGGTTGCCGCCAGGTGGGGGGGACAGCGGCGGCTGGCTCTAGCTGCAGGAGGTGCCCCTCCGCGGCCCGGCCCCCGCCACCCGGCCAGCCAGTCCTGCCCTGTCTGACCCCTGCCCTCCCTTGGCAAGGGTCCCACCCCCGCCCAGAGGGGCCCGTGCGGGCCCAGGCCAGCTCCTGAGGAGGCCTGGAGCTGGATTCGGGCACAGAAGGCAGGGCGTGTCTGGGCTGCCCGTGCACCCCCCTTCTTGCTCCCTAGGCCGCCTCCTTGAAGTGGCCCCTGCTGTGGGCGCCCCTGCCTCACAGAGGGGACAGCTGACTTGCCCGAGCTCTCAGAGCTGGCGTGAGGCAGAGGTGGGATGTGAACTCAGGGCTGTCTGTGTTTGTGGCCCGACGGCAGCCACCCCCAGGGAGGAGCAGGATCTGTCACCACCCTGCTGGGCCACCTTCAACAAGTTGCTTTGCCTCTCTGTGCCTGCACGCCTGTCCTGAGGTTTCCTGCCGGGTCTCCCCAGGTTACCCTGTGGAGCCGAGCCTCATCTGTGCTCAGCCTCTGAAGGGTCCCTCGGGCTGCCCACTCTCTGCCTCGAGCCCCTCGCGGGCACCATTTCCCCCCATCATGGGCCCGTCCCTACTCCCAGCTGCCAGCCCCACGGTGCTGTCAGAGGTGAACTGGGACCCGTCCGTCCACCTCCCATGTGTCCTGAACCCGCCACCTGGCCCTCCTCCATGGCTACCTGGGACCAAGGCCTCTGGGGAACTGCTCCTCCCTAGCGGGCCCCAGGCTTCTACCTCCGCCCCTCAGCCTTCTGAAGGCCTCGCCTGGACCCCAGGGGTCCCCACCTAACCCCCCCCAGTGGTTTTCCCAACACCCTCAGCCGAGCCCTAACGGACCACCTGTGCTCCCCGAGTTGTGGCCACCCTGATCTGCTCTCCCAGCCCCCGGGGCGCTACAGGCCCCCCCCACCGCCCGAGGGGCCGGCCAGGCTCTGCAGCCTCCGTCTGCTTTGGGGAGGCCAGTGAGGTACAGGGGGACACCCAGCTCTCCAGGGGGGCGGGCTCTCACCTCCCCGAACTCCTCGTGGACCTGCTCCACGTACATGGTCCCCCTTGGCACGGGGCCCTCCAGGGTCTCTGACTGGGCGCTCCCGCTCTCGTTGGTCTTCCCGCTGTGGTTGTGAGTCTCGTTATCCGACTCCTCGGCGTTCTCTCTCTCCGACTTGTCTGAGAAAGCATCATTCTCCAGGGAGGACCCGTTCAGCCTGGAGGGGCAGATGGCGCTGTGGGTCCCCGGTCAGAGGCGCGGCCCGGGTGCCTCCACCCCTGGGGAGTGAAGGAGGCCTGCCTCCTGATCTGAGGTTGGGGTGGCCAGACTCCACGGTGCTTGGTCCCCCCGCCCACATACAAGGAGACCCCTCATATCAGTCCCAGAGACAGCCAGGGTCCTGGGGGTCCCCAGCAGGAAGGGGACCTGGGCTTCTGGGAGGGGCCAGCCCTTGCCCGCCACGCCCCTGCTCACGGGCACAGGTCCTGGTCGTGGATGGCGGCCGAGGGGGGCAGCCCACAGAGCGAGGGGGGCGACGCGTCTGGCGAGGATCCGGGCTCCCCGTCACGGCCCTGCTTGCACGTGCTGAGTCGCAGGAGGCTGGAGCATCGCAGGGCCAGCTCCAGGGCATCCAGCCAGCAGCGGCCTGCAGGGCGGCACGGGGTGAGTCCACTGCAAGCCCAGGGAGGCCCCCCTCTGCCAGAGACACCCCTGTCCCTTCTCCGTCCTCCTGGGGCATGGGTACCGCTGCCGCGCAGGTGTGCATGCATGTGAGTGGGGGGGGGGGGGGCAGATGTGAACAAGGACGAGGCCTTAGCCGGCAGGCCCGAGCCAGGAAGAGATGCGTGCCTGGAGGAAGACGCCCTTCAGAGGATGCTCACGGCACTCCCTCAAGGTCACACCTTAGCAAGACTCAGAGCCTCAATTCCACCCGGACACCCGTAGCTTCTGTATATGGAGTTGGGGGGGAGGGCCCTACGTCATGAGAACTGCGTGCCATAGGTCTCAGGGGGCATGGGGGGCCCCGCGGGCCTGTAGCACAGAGCCGGAGGGTGGGGGGCAGGCTGGGGAGGGGGCTGGAGCGTCGTGGAGGGAGGGCTGGCCAGGGCCTGAGAGAGGCAGCTCCAGAGGGTGGAGAGTGGATGGACCAGGAGGGCAGTGGGCGACCCGAGGCAGAGCCGGCCAAATCCTCCCATCCCTGCTGCCTTCCCGGTGGAGGCTGCCAGAGGGTTCGACCAGCACCACCTCCGTGTCCCCGGGGGTGTTAGCAGCTTTGGGGACATGTGTCCACCAGGGTGCCCCCCGATGTCCCGGTGTGATTACTAACGGCGGCCCCTCCACGCAGAGGCATCGCCCCATTAAGTGCTCTTCTGGGGAGCACAGCTGGGGCCTGGCATGGGGAGGCAAGCGTCTGCGGGGAGGGTGGCCCTGGTTCTACAGGGTTTCACTGCAGGCCCAGCCTGGGCTGAACGTTCGTGGGGCAGAGGAAGGGGTGACAGGAGCAGGCCCTGCGGGACACCCCTGAGCGGGGCACGCCTCGTGGCTACCACAAAGGACTAGACACCCTAATGCTCTGCATCCTTTGAAGCCCCCCCCTCCTCCAGGAAGCCCACCCTCATACCCACAGGGGCTGTGGGCCCTCCCTCCCCGCTCACGGCCCCCAGCCCATCAGGGACCCAGCTCATGCCTCAGCCCCATCGGCCTCGTCTGACAGCTGATTTTCTCTCCCCCGCGACTGCGGGCTCCCAGAGCGCGGGCGGTCCCTCCCGGAGCGTGGACGTGGCGTCTGCCCACCAGGGGCTGGTGTAGCACCAGCGGGCGGGCCACCAGCTCGGGGCTCTGGGCCCTGAGGGCCTGGACGGGGGCAGCCGCATTTACCCGGAGCAGCCACTGGAGGGCGCTCCAACAGCGTGCACTGCATCGGGGGCACTTCGGATTCCCCACCCAGGCCTGGCCCTCCTTGCTGGCAGGTGGCCGGGGCCCCGTTTTTGTCACACATTACATGTAGACGGTACCGGGAGAACCCACCGATTCAGTGGTGCCCGGCAAGCGCTTGGCGCACAGTAGCTGTGATCTGAGGACTTTAAATCAGGTCATCAGGTTGTCCTGACAAGTGGGGAGCCGGGCGCTACTATTCATGGTTTACTTTGGGGAAACTGAGGCTCAGGGAGGTACTAGCAAGGGGCAGGCCTGCCTGGCGCGAGCCCGGGCTTGTCCCGTGGCATCTGGCCATCTCCTTTCTTGGGGGGCATTGGAAGGGACTGATAGTGGTCACGTGCACCCGTTTGTAAGTCGGCCAGGGCGCCCATGTTGTGCGGGGTCACCAGGGAGACCCGCAGGGCAGGCGGGGACTCACCGTCCGACTCAGAGGCAGCCCTGAAGATCAGGTAGCTACTGGGGAGGGGCTGCGTGATGGAGCCCACACTCTCGCCCTTGGGGCCCTGGGGAGACAAGAGATCCGGTGTCACCTGGGGGGGGGACACCCAGGTCACGCAGACTCACGCAAACCCCCACTGACACACACGTGGCCGCAGGCCCGCCAGCCACCCGGGAGCAAGAGAGGAGAGGGAGCTGGTGGCTCTGTCCACGGCTCTCTAGCTCCGGACTCCCCCTTTTAGCATGGCTGGAACCAGCACACGCACATTCAGGATGCCCACTTAAATTCAAATCTCAAGAAAGAATACAGCTTTGTCCAGTAGGAGTGTAGCCCATGCAATATTTGGGACATACTTATACTAAAAAGAACTATTCGGTGTGTGTCTGAAATCCTAATTTAACTGGACATTCTGGCTTTCATCTGGTAACCTGACTCCCGTTGGTCCTGGGCCGGGCAGCTCCCAGTTAGGAGGCTGGGTCGGGGAGGTCCGGGCTGGGAGCAGCTGCTCACACGGCCCCGTCCCTCAGCCCCACCGAGGATCCACCTGGAGGGCCAGGGACCACATCTGATCCCCGGTCCCCGAGGGACCCACCCCATGGCCCCCCGCAGCTGGGTGGTGACGGGCCCATCCGGAACCCCGAGGTTCGCCTCCTGGCCCGCCCCCCAGCGCCGGCCTCCCACACGGTGTCCACAGGCCTCACTCCTCCCCCGGGGCCCGACCCCCTTGACCCCGGGGTGCCCCGCTGCCGTACCTTCACGGCCCAGACGGACTGGTCCAGCGGGTGGAAGAGCTTGAAGCAGAAGCCGTCCTTCTTGGAGGGCCGCTCGATGAGCTCACAGCAGTGCAGCAGGACTGTGCCTACCCACTGGCCCACCTTGGGCGTCTTGTAGATGAGCAGCACCCCCGGCTTCAGCACGCACCACAGTCTGGTCCAGCTCTTCAGGGTCCCCCGGATCTGCGGGGAGGGGCGCCGCTGTTGGGGAGGCCGACACCCCAGGGGCACCTGGACGGTGTGGGGGGCGGCGCTGGGGGGCGGGCAGAGTCCTCTTTCGGCTTGTACGAGGGGCGCACAGACGCTAGGGAATTGTACAAGGAGCGCATAAACGACAGCGAATCCAGAGAAAGGCACTGAAGCCAGGAACGCATTTACTGGGGAGGCTCAAGGCCAGGGTCAAGGCCCTCCGGGGGTCCCGGGAGGAGCCAGCCACAGACGTGACTGTTGTCAGCTCTGCAAATCGTGAAACTTGTCATTTCTTTTCTCATTCCAAAGAAAAAAATTCACTTTTGTACCTCATTTTTTATTCATAATTTTGTGGGGGGGGAGAAAAGGAGCCCATGGGGGCCCAGGTCCTCGGCAGATGACCCAGTGCTGACAGGCCTGTCCTGTTTGCCCTCTGAGGCAACCCCAGGATTCGGCAGCTTTCCCTCCACCACGGGGGGCATGGAGACAAGTCCCCGGGGCTCAGTGAGGTCTGAACCCCAAGCCGAGAAGCCAGAGAGCAGCCTCCCCCACTCTGTGCCCCAGCCCAGGGCTCCGTGCGCATCCTGGGACCCCATCGCGGGCCAGGACCCCCACCTCAACTGGACATAGGATCTCTGCAGATTTAAGGAGGTGAAGATGAGGCCACATTGAAGTGGGGTGACATGTGGACACAGACACACAGGGGCCACGCGAAGGCAGAGGGTGGAGGGGCGCGTCCAGCAGCCCAGGGAAGCCTGGGCCCCCAGAAGCTGGAGGAGCAGGAAGTGTCCCCCCTTAGCGCCTCCGGAGGCCTGGGGACAGTGGGTCTCGAAGCCCCCAGCTCGTGGTCCCTGGTCAGGGCTGCCACAGGACGCTGACACAGATCACAGTCCCAAACACGCCGAACTGCCTCCTGACTGGAGGTGGAGGTGGCCAAGCCCGGGACACCCACCTGCCCGCCCCGCTTACCTTGAGACTGTCAGCCATGATGACCACGCTGGGGTCCGTCAGGGCGCTGAACAGCTGCTTCGTGGCTCGCTTCTTCTCCTGCCGGTAGTTCTCTTTCTGTGCCTGGACCCCGGGCACCCAGCGGGCAGGTCAAGGGACAAGGCCCGGGCTGGCCCCCGCCCCGGCTCCTCCCACCTGCCGCGCCCCCACGGTCCAGCCCGGGGTGGGGGGTGGTGAGGATAGGGGCAGGGAGAGGAGAGGAGAGGAAGTTGGGGGGGGGCGGGAGGTGGCCAGGACGTGGCCTGCCCCCTCCCTTTGGCAGGCTGGGGTGTGGTGACCTCACTGGCCCATTCCTCTGGCACGTGACATACTTGTGTCCCCTTCCTGGGCCCGTGCGCACCTTGAGAGCTTCCTTCTTGGTGACCTTGGCTGTTGGGGACACACATTCCTTGTCGGACCCATTGTACAGCCTGTATTCTGCCTGCAAGAGAGACTCAAGTCGGGGGCAGAAGGGGCATCAGTGTGCGGTCTGGGGCTGCAGAGGCCTGGGGGGCGGCCGGGGGGGCTTGAGGTCCGAGAAAGGTGCTCCTGTCCTTCACCACACAACACCCTCTGTTCGGCTCACCAGCGATGCCAGGGGTGGAGGGTACAGGGATGGAGGACTCGGGGTAGCCAAGGACAGCATGTGGGCGGGAGCTCAGAGGTGCCCGGGAAGCGTCCACCCCAGCCACCATGTGCCCAGCCTCTGGGCGGGGGGCCACACTGCAGTGCAGACTCTCCTCCCTGGCGCCCTGGGAGCTGCTGAGCACGGGTCCCATGCCCGGACGCTCTCCGGGGCCTGCCCACGGCTGCGGGGAGCCAGGTGGACCGAGGAGAAGGCTGGACACGCTCCGTGGGCCAAGAGCAGCAATCAGGGGTCTGGGGCTGGAAGGGGCCGTGGTCCTTTAATAGATGGGGAAACTGAGGCCTGGGGGTGGTGAGGGTAGCCAGGAGAGGAAGCAGGATTAAGGGGCTAAAGGCAGGGCAGAGTAAAGCATGGCCCGAATCCTGCCCTCCGCCTGTTTTTGCTCAGCCTGTGAGCTCGGAATTGTTTCGCATTTTTAAGTTGTTGAAAAAAAGTCAAAAGAATAATATTTTGTGAGACATGAAAATCATGATTCGTGGCTCCTTTTTCTGTGACGGCAGCGTGAATACTTGAGACAGAGTCTGGGTGACCGCGAAGCCGCACAGACTCGCTCTCGGACTCGCCCTCGGTCCTTTCCAGAAAGAGTCGGCCTGCCCGGCTCTGCTCTCCAGGCGGCGTGCCCGGGGGGTCCTCGCCAGCGCCGCCCTGAGCCCCCAGACGAGGGAGGAAGGCCCGGTGGCCTGAGCCCCCCGGCCTGCAGGAGGCACGGGCCCAGTCATTGTCCCATTTGACTGACTGGGAAACTGAGGCCCACGAGAGCGGGTAAGCAGCTCCCCGAGGCTGCGAGCCAGGAAGCGGCAGGGCTGGGACTCGCATCGTCCAGCAGGCTGGTCATCCCCACAGTGCCGTGTGCCAGGCACGGTGTCGGACACTGGGTGTGGAAAGCAGGCCACCCACGAATCCCAGAGCTGCCACAGCCGGGGCTCACTCATCCTCCACGTCTCGAGGAGACTGTGGCTCAGAGAGGCTCAGAACCTGCCCGGGGTCACACAGCTCATGAGGTGCCGAGCTGGGACTGACCGCAGGAGGGATGGGGGTGCGGTGGGGACTCTGCTCTAGAAGCAGTCTTGGAGCTGAAGCAGAAGTGTAGGCCAGATGCTGTCCGGTGGCAGGTCTCTGGGGGCCGGGGCTGACCCACAAAGGTGCTCCCAGCGGTCCTCCTGGGGAGCGCCTCAGCCCCCTTCACACAGGCTGTGCCCCCAGCCTGGAATGCTCTTCCCTGTTGCGGGGAAGACCCTGCTCCCTCCTCAGGCCCCACCTAGCCACTTCCCAGGGGGAAGACGCCCTCCCCCACCCCCCCCCCGCCCTGCTGACCTCAGACCTGAGGACGTACACCTGCCCTTGGCCGCCCAGCACCTCCTGAGATGACAGCCACGCGGACCGGGCTGCTTGTCATCTACAACGCCCGCCAGGGGCAGGGACATCCCGGCACACCCTGGGCACGGGAGCGGGGAGACTGGTAAGCATCTTGCATGAATGAATGAGTGAATGAGTGAGTGAGTGAGTGAACCTGAGGCCCAGCTCTCCTCCAGGTGTGCTTGGGGCCTGGGGACCTAGCGGCCTGGAGGCGGGATGGAGCGTCTGTGCCCTGCATCCCCGTGGGCCTCAGTCCCACAAGGCCACTCGGGCTCCAGTCACTGCAGCCCTGCCCACCAGCTCTTCTGTCCTCAGGGGCACCCCAGGACCCTGCCCAGCCCTGAGTCCCTCCGCACCCTCCTGCACGCTGCTGCACATCAAGACACAGCACTCACGCTCGAGAAGCATGGCTCAGAGCCAGGACCCCCAGCGTCTGACCACAAACGTGCAACCTCTGAAAGGGACTTCAAGAAGCCGTTTAGGAAGACCTACAGAACAGGAGCTGCATTTGCAATCACACACCTGACAAGGGTCTGGTGTCTAGCATATATAAAGAGCTCTTACAACCCAACAACAAGGACAAACAACATGATTCAAAGATGGGCAGAGGACCGGAACAGACATTTCTCCAAAGGAGTCCTACGATGGTCGAGAAGCACTTGCACAGATCATCAGTCATTAGGGACACGCAAATCAGAACCACAGAGAGACACCACCGCATACCCACTGGGACCACTACAACAGCGATTAAGGAAAAACCCAGAGAATCTAAGTGTGGTGCGGTTGTGAGAAAGGGGAGCCCTCCCTTGTTGCCGGTGGGGTCGTAAAACGGTGCAGACGCTGTGGAGGGGAGTCTGGCAGCTCCTCAAGAAGTTAAATACAGAATGCTTGAGAATTCCACGTGACCCTGGAGCGACCACCTGGCCCGCAATCCCGCTCTTAGGAGCTCCAACATGGTCACCGGAGCTGAAGAACGAAGACAGCCCAGATGCCCACCAGCGGGTGAATGGACCAGCCAGGGGTGGGCCGTCCACACCTGGGATATGACTCAGCCCTAAACAGGAGAAGGGCACGGCCACATGCCACGACACGCGTGAATCTCAGATCACGGTGCGTGATTCCATCGCCACGAAATGTGCCGAACTGGTAAGTCCACGGACACAGGAGGTGGCGTCAGGGCCGCGGGGCTGGTAAGGGGGCGGGGAAGCCTCTGACGGGGTTTCGGGCTGGGGGACGGGAATGTTCTGGAACTAGACAGAGGTGGTGGTCGCATGGCACAGCAAACGCACCGCATGCCCTCGAACTGGGCACTTGAAATGGCTGGTTTTAGAATATCTGAATTTCACTTCACAAAAAATACAGCATCTCTATTAGCTTGTGTCTTTTCCCAAGCTGGGTCTCTCAAAGCAGCCCCAAGTCGCCCTTAGGAATCTGGGGGTATATGGAGCTTTCTCCCCCTGCCCCCGGGCTCTGACATGTTGCAGGTTTAACTCGTTTTGTCTGGTGCGGTCTCCCCCCCAAGGACACCGCGCTCTCCTCACGTCCTCCCCCTGCACCCACGGCCCTGCGTGCGGCTCAGGCGCCGCTCAGACCTAATTACCAAATGGATGGGATCTGAAGTTCGAACCAAGTCATGTGTTTGTGACGGTGTTTGTATGTTATATTGGGTTGTAGAAGGACACAACTATGTTTTTGGTGTTTTTATGCCAGAGGCTTGTATCTTGAAAAAATAAGTAACCCAAGTGCCAACTGACGGATGAATGGATCAACAAAATGTGGTCCATCCAGGCAACGAATATTCCTCAGTCTTAAAAAAGGCAGGACACGCTGACATCTGCCAGAGCGTGGATGGACCTGGGGGACATGATGCTGAGTGAAATAAGCCAGTCATGAAAGGACAAATACTGCAGGATTCCCCCCAATGAGGTCCTTAGTCTCCAGATTCACAGGGAACAGAGTGTGGACGGTGGGCACCAGGGGAGGGATGGGAGTCGGTGACTCAGGGGGACAGAGAGTGGACGGTGGGCACCGGGGGAGGGATGGGGGTCGGTGACTCGGGGACAGAGAGTGGACGGTGGGCACCGGGGGAAGGATGGGGGTCGGTGACTCAGGGGGACAGAGAGTGGAGGGTGGGCACCGGGGGAGGGATGGGGGTCAGTGACTCAGGGGGACGGAGAGTGGACGGTGGGAGCTGGGGCTGGGGGAGGGATGGGGGTCGGTGTCTCATGAGACGGAACTTTGTTTGGGGAGATAGAACGTTCTGGTCATGCATGGGGGACGGCTGCACAACAGTGGGAATGTGCTTAGTGCCCCTGAGCTGTGCGCTTAGAGATGGATAGGTCGGTAAATTTGGGGCATGTCTATTTTACTGCAATGAAAAAAAGAAAAAAAAATTAATTAAATAAAAATGAGTCAGTAAATAAATATGCCCTGGTTGCTCCTGCAGCAGTTGGAAGCCCTGGGGCCCAGGAAGGGAAAAGGGAAATGCAGGCTCCAGAGTGGGGGGTGCCCACCAAAGGTTTGGTTTCTTCTCCGCCTGAGGCAGACATGGGACAGACCATGAGAACCACAGCAAGCCCTCCTTTGATGGACGAGGGCATGAGGTCCCAGAGGAGTGAGGCAGTCGCTCGGGATCACACAGGGGGCGGCAGGTGGCTGGGCAGGGGTGAACCTGGGGTCTGTCTGCACTGCTCCCCAGCCCCATCGCCAGAACCCAGAGCCACCAACCTCCGTCAGTGTGTGGGGCCACGGCTGCCCCGGCCTGAGACCCTCTGGGGGACAGAAGTGAGTGCCTAACACCCTGCAGGCGGTGCCCGGGGCCTCGGCACCCTCCCTGGACCCAGGTTCTGCCTGGAGGGGCACAGCCGGGCCGGAGCCAAGAGGGGCTGGCCTGGGAAGCACGCAGGGGGTGGGGGTGGGGGGTGTGCGTGCATTTCCAGAACTCAGCACCCCTCTGCAGAGGGGCGCACCTGGTGGAGGGCACAGCAAGGCAAAGGCAGAGGGAGGGAAGGCTCATCCCTCGGTGGTTTCCCTATGAGAGAAGGACTCCAAGGCCTCCTCTTACACTGTTTTCTGTCCCTAAATGCCACTGAGCAGCCCACAGCCCTTCTCCAGCGCCCAGCCTCCCTGGACTGTGTTATGCCAAGAAGCGGCTCCGATAAACCAGCCAACAAGCACCGTTTGTGACTCTGTCTGTCATCCCAGCCTCCCCAGATGCGGGGTTCAGAGCTGCCCCTCCTGGCACATGCGGGCTGGGGGTGGCAGGCTAGGCCCGGTGCCCCTGTTCTTCCCCCCAAGCTACTTTCCATTGTCCCCTGGGCAGACTCCCTGTCCGAGTCCTCCCATGGCCAGGCTCTTACCGGTGGCCCCTTTGTGGCAGAGCCTGGGGTCGGGGGCCCTTCATCCCTTGGCAGCGATGGGCCATTGGGCTCCATGTCCTTCCCTGCAAGAGAGGGGCCAGAGTGGGGACCAGGGCATGGCAGGAGGGCCGGTCCCTCCGGCTGGCCGCCCCGAGTGAGACACGGGCCTCCTGGGCAGGGCAGGAAGCCAGCCGAGAGGTCTAACAACACCAGCCAGGGTCCCTGCAGGGAGGGACCCAGGAGTGGAGGCCCAGCTCCCACGACCTGTAGGAGGAGCCCAGGCACCTGGGGCACTGGTGCAGCATGTCTTTGGGGTCCCATAAGCCCAGGCACCCCACTTTCAGAGGAAGAATGCAATGTCCAGGTTCCGAGGCACATGGCGGGTTCAGGGTGCCCGGACCACAGCTGGCCTTCCCTCTCGCCCTGACCCTCTGGGAGCTGGGTTCTCGGAGGGAGGTAGCCGGACACGGTCCCTGCTCCCCGACCTGGCAGGTGTCTGGATTCAATCTGGGAAACAGTCACCCTTCCCTAGCTCCATCTGTTTTGAAGAGGGTTTCCAAAGCTCGGGTTTACGGGCAGGGGGACGAGGGATGGGCTCAGACCTTACAGCTTACTGCTGGGTCCCCGCACTGGGAAAGGGGGGAACCATCCTGGCGGGGCGGTGAGGACAGGCGCCCCCAGAGACAGCCCTGGTGGGGGCTCTGCACACCCACTCCCCAGAGCCCTGGGAAGGGGCTGGGGGCTGGGGACGGAGCGCCGTGCTCTGCAGAGAAGCCAGCCTGAGGAAATGGTTCTGTCCTCAGGGACCCAGGTTCCCCTGGGGCAGGAAAGGCCCTGGAACAGCGGCCACTCCAGGGGCCATGGCCTTCCTGCCCCAGCCGGGGAGGCCTCCTTGCTGCCTCCGCTTCTGCATCCGCAAAGCTCCCTGTGCCCTGACACCCAGCGCCCGGGCTTGGGGGTGAGCAGGGGGCTTTCTGCACTTCCAGGGCGCCCCTCCCTCCAGGCCCCTGTCTTGGGGGGCTTGTCCTGCAGCTGTCACCTCCGTGTGGGTGCTGCCTGCTGGCCTGGGCGGACCGGGGGCCTGTGGCAGTCGGAGGCGGGCACCGGTTCATCTCCTCCGTCCACACCCCCCTCCTCACCCCTGCCCCCAGGACCTGGCACTCTTCTCCTCCTGGAGCAGGTCCCTGCCTGCTGGGTCCTGCACTGCATGGGCCAGCCGCCCTGGGGACCAAATACCCCAGGGCCTGGCTGCCCACTGGGACTGCCCTTTCCCTCCCCCTGCTCCTGAGAGGACGCGGCAGCAGAGACGGAGGTCGGATGTATTTCCCCAGGCGTCCCGTGCCCCTGGCCCATGTCACCTGATGAGGCGCATGCCATGTGGCCTGTTTCCATATCTGCTTGTGAGATTTTGGGTGGGAGGTCCCCAGAAGCCCCCCAAGTCCTGACAGTGTGTCGGTCTGAGGCTCTCCCGGGGTCTCCAGGGTCGGGACGGACACTGCAGCCGGGAAGGGCTCGGGCATCTCTGTCCTCCCTCCCAAGGCAGGCAGCGGGCGAGGGGCAGGCGGGCTGGAGGAGGCGAGGTCTCCCAGGACGGGAGGAAAGGCAGGCCGCTCTGGGGGCAGGAGTCACAGACACGCAGGGAGCGCTCGGCTTAGACTCTGCTGGGCGGCCGGTGAGGAATTAGGTGACGGCGCAGGGTGCACCTGGAACCGGGAAGGCACCAGCAGGTGCAGGGGACCCTGTGCCCTGTGGGCTCAGTGCTTCATGCACCAGAGGCATGAGAGCCCCCCCCCGGTCTGGACTGTGCCCTCTCAGAGCCCGGGACTCCTCTGCAGCTAGGAGGAGGTACTAATATCCCCATTTTACAGATGAGGAAACCGCCGAGCCCCGAGAGGTCCTGCCCCTGGCCCAGGGTCACCCAGCCAGCAGAACTGGGGCTGGGACTCAGGCTGCCTGCCCTGAGAGGCTAGGTTTGGGACAGCCCCACCACACTGCCTCTCCAACGACCAGCTGCCCCCAGAGCCCAGGCGAGGGAGCCCCCTGTTGACCTCCACGGCCAAAAGGCTGTCACCTGGCCCCACGGGTCCCAGGGCTTCAGTACCCTGCTAGTCCTTTGTTCATTCTGCACAGTACCAGCACCTGGGCGGCGGTTAGCTGAGCAAGGCTGTCGCCCGCCTAGCCAGGACAGCACAGAGAGGGGAAGGGACCTGCCTGAGGTCACAGAGCCGGGGGGACCCAGGCCCCGGCGGCCGCCCCAGCCCATCCCGGCGCTGACCTGCGCTGAGGGGGTAGAGCTCATTCTCTCCACCGAAGAGCAGGTTCCGGCTGAGTTTCCGGGGGTCGACTTTCTGGGGGGTGGAGGAAGGTGGACACAATGAGAAGCGGCGGCGGAGAAAGGCCTCCTCCTTCATGGCCTGGGTGCTGGGAGGCTTCTGGAAGGAAGGAAGAGACGCGGTCACACCTACGTGGAGAGCAGGGGCGGCCCTAGGGGCCGGTGGGCAGCCTCCCACCCACCCTGGCAAGAGGCACTCCACAGGCAGGGATCAGTGGCAGGGGTCACCCCATCTTATAGTCAGGCCCTCACTTGGGACGTCTCAAACAGACGAGGGCCTGGGGGGCCTGCAGACCAGCGGGGGGGGGGGGCGGTCAGCACAAGGAAGGCCGTGCCCGGGCTTCCCAGAGCCCTCGAGGGAGGACTGTGCCCAATTCCGTGTCGGAAGCTCGGCCCAGACCAGCCCTGTCCAAGTGTAGCCCCTCATGGGTGTGGCAGGCACCTCTCTCTGGAAACACCCCGCCCCCAGGCCCAGCACTAAATTGGCTCTGTCGACCCCGGCCACAGCCACGTGGACCTGAGACGTGCCACTGACCCATGCCAGGCCACCAGAGCTTCCCTCCCTGGTGATAGAGCTCTAGGTGGGGAGACGGCCGCTGACGCACATGGGGGTTGGTGGGGGTGGCCGAGAGCTGCCTAGAGAGAGTGGACGGTGCCCAGGGCACCAGGGGCAGCTGGCCTGGGACCAGACCCCGCTGCCCTGAGACCCTGCCCCCCGCACCCCCTCGGTCTGTCCTCCGTCTGCTTCGGCTCCTCCCCGGGGGTCTCTGCTGCTGGCGCCCCAACAGCTTCCCTCGGAGAGAGACACAGGTGTGCTTAAAGCCAGGTGTGCCCCGATTCACACTCTGCCCGAGCCCTGGGCACTCCTGAATGGGCTTCCTTCCTGCCCCAGGCCTAGCCCAAAACAGCCCACCACTCACGAGTGGGCCTGGGCCTCCTCCTGGATCCCTGGCCCTCGCAGCCCGGTCCCCCCCAGGCCTGGCGCAAGCAGGTGACCGGTGACATAAGTCCCCAGAGCCGTCAGCCCATGTTGTGGATGAGGAAATCGAGGCTCGGGGAGCTGAAGGCCTTTCCCCGGGGTCACAGCCTGGGGGTGGTGGCAGACAGGGACTCGGGCTCCTAGTCCTGTGCTCTGTCCACTCCCTAGGACCCGCTCTGGAAAGGCCCACGGAGCCATCTCTCCTCCGGGTCTGGGGCTGTGGGGCGCCTCCCTGCGTGGGCCCGTGGCTTCCCGCCAAGCCCAGGACAAAGGCCCCATTTCTTCCCAAGGCCCTGGGCCCTTCAGGACGGGGCTGTGACGGGGTGGGAGAGTAGGACTGGGCGGGGCTTCGGGGTGGGCAGGGGGGCCCCCCGGGGCCTTCGTGGCAACCCCAGACCCTCCTCTGTGCCCCCTGCCTGGGGTCAGAGCGAGGGGCTCCCAGCCCCTCCAGCCCCTCCCTTCCTAACCTAGTCACCTGGCTAAGCTTGTTACCTTTTACCGATGGGGAAACTGGTTTCAGAGAGGTTGGGATTCTGGCCCATGGTCATGCAGCTACCGAGTGGCAATGCACGCTCTTGAGCCACCTGGGACCGACTGCAGAGCCTGGCTCCCAGCCAGCACTCCCACGGCCTCGGCTTGGCTTCCAGCAAAGCCACTGCTAGGCCAGCGGGGCGGGCGTCTGGGCGGCCCTGCCGTGCTCGTCAGCGTCCACGGACACCTGCAGCCTGCCAGGTGAGTCAGGCATGAACTGGACCCGGAGGGGCCCCCAGGAGAGCGAGGAGGGCTGAAGGCACAGGCAGGCCTCCCTCACCTGGAGCCTCGCCTCTCCTAGGTGTTAAGTCTTGCCCACATTGCCTGAGATTGGCTCGGCTCCCCAGCTGGCCCGTCTGCGCCGGCTCCACCCAGGGCAGAGAGGGAGGGCACGAGGATCCTGGCTGCCTTCTCAGACCCTATCTCATGCCTTCTCCCAGCACTGCTAGCGGCCATGGGACTCTGGTCTGTGAGCTCCACCATCCACCCATGTACCCTATCCTCCTTCCTTCCCTCCCTCCCCTCCACCTATCCATCCATCCATGCATCTATCCATCTACACCATCCTCCCTCCTTCCCTTCCCACCATCCATCCACCTATCTATCCATCTACCCAACTTCCCCATCATCCACTCAACTATTTATCCATCCATTCACTTGCCCATATACAATCCATCCATCCATCCCCATCTACACCATCCTCCTTCCCTCCCTCTCTCCCATCCATCCACCTACCCATCCATACCATCTTCTCTCTTCTCTCCCTTCCTCCCATCCATCCATCCATCCACCTATCTATCCTTCCATCCTCCCACTTACCTATCTATCCATCTACCCAACTTCCCCATCATCCACTCAACTATTTATCCATCCATTCACTTGCCCATATACAATCTATCCATCCATCCCCATCTACACCATTCTCCTTCCCTCCCTCCCTCCCACCCATCCACCTACCCATCCACACAACCTTCTCTCTTCCCTCCCTCCCTCCCACCCATCCACCTACCCATCCACACCATCTTCTCTCTTCCCTCCCTCCCTCCCACCCATCCACCTACCCATCCACACCATCTTCTCTCTTCCCTCCCTCCCTCCCACCCATCCACCTACCCATCCACACCATCTTCTCTCTTCCCTCCCTCCCTCCCACCCATCCACCTACCCATCCACACCATCTTCTCTCTTCCCTCCCTCCCTCCCACCCATCCACCTACCCATCCACACCATCTTCTCTCTTCCCTCCCTCCCTCCCACCCATCCACCTACCCATCCACACCATCTTCTCTCTTCCCTCCCTCCCTCCCACCCATCCACCTACCCATCCACACCATCTTCTCTCTTCCCTCCCTCCCTCCCATCCATCCACCTACCCATCCACACCATCTTCTCTCTTCCCTCCCTCCCTCCCATCCATCCACCTACCCATCCACACCATCTTCTCTCTTCCCTCCCTCCCTCCCATCCATCCACCTACCCATCCACACCATCTTCTCTCTTCCCTCCCTCCCTCCCATCCATCCACCTACCCATCCACACCATCTTCTCTCTTCCCTCCCTCCCTCCCATCCATCCACCTACCCATCCACACCATCTTCTCTCTTCCCTCCCTCCCTCCCATCCATCCACCTACCCATCCACACCATCTTCTCTCTTCCCTCCCTCCCTCCCATCCATCCACCTACCCATCCACACCATCTTCTCTCTTCCCTCCCTCCCTCCCATCCATCCACCTACCCATCCACACCATCTTCTCTCTTCCCTCCCTCCCTCCCATCCATCCACCTACCCATCCACACCATCTTCTCTCTTCCCTCCCTCCCTCCCATCCATCCACCTACCCATCCACACCATCTTCTCTCTTCCCTCCCTCCCTCCCATCCATCCACCTACCCATCCACACCATCTTCTCTCTTCCCTCCCTCCCTCCCATCCATCCACCTACCCATCCACACCATCTTCTCTCTTCCCTCCCTCCCTCCCATCCATCCACCTACCCATCCACACCATCTTCTCTCTTCCCTCCCTCCCTCCCATCCATCCACCTACCCATCCACACCATCTTCTCTCTTCCCTCCCTCCCTCCCATCCATCCACCTACCCATCCACACCATCTTCTCTCTTCCCTCCCTCTCTCCCATCCATCCAGCCAGCCAGCCAGCCATCTACCCATCTGCCCATTTGCCTATCTATCCATCCATCCATCCACCATCTGTCCACCCAACCTCTCATCCCTCCTTCCCTCCCTCCTCCATGGATCTCTCCAGCCAGTCAGCTGAGCAGCCTGCTACTCCTCCTTCCCTCCCCACTTGCTCCCCGTTAGCTCAACAACCAGACCCATCAGAGGTGACGTTCAAATGCCCAACTACTGGCGCGGATATCCTCTGATCCGAATGCAGTGCTGGTGTGCACCAGCGCACAGCCCTCTGTCCTGACGCCCCACACCAGTGCTTGGGCCCCCGTGAGCCCCCTGTGACCCGCTCAGACAGGGAGGGCAGCACTCTTACTCAGTAGTGCTCCGGGGTCTACACAGCTCTGCTGAATTCATACCTCCCTTGGTCTTCCCGCTGCCCACCCCGGCTGCGGTGGACACTGGGTGCTTTCTCTCCACCGTGGTCCAGGCCGGGGCGAGGTGCTGGGGAGCGGATGCTGTTTCATCCACAGCAAAAGTAAATCCAGGTCCCATCTCCCCAGTGGCTGAACCCGGTCCAGACTCAATGCCCCACTCACCCCTGTCCTCCGGCCCCTCCATGACCCTGCCCCTCCTCCCACTCACTCTCCCAGCCACACGGGCCCCTTTCTGTCCCTGGAAAACGCAGAGCCCATGCCCGAGGGCCTCTGCTCTGGAACATCCTCCCTGGAATGCCCTCGCCCACATCTCTCCCTGGTGGGGTCCTTCCCACACTTAGCTTAAATGCCACTTCCCGGAGGGTTGGCCCCCCTTACATCTCACACAGGCAAATTCTCCACATAGCACTGGGAGTTCCAGAACCTTCTCCTTGGTGTTCCTTTCTCACTAACTCTCTTTCCCCATAGGACACACACTCTAGGAGAGGGGGTGGCATCTGTCTGTCCTGCTCACTGTCTACCCCATGCACGCCCCGAGCAGGGGCTCACAGAATGGCTCAGGGCTTGGGGACCCTGGAGGTCCCTAGGGTGGATGAAAGCCACACAACAAACACCCCTGGGCCTCGTTCCTCCTTTTCTGCAGGTTGGGGAGGATCCTCGGAGTGGTGGCCAGGGTCGGTTTGGGGTGGATTTCCAACGTAGCCCTGGAGAGGTAGCCCTGTTCCTGCCTGCCCACCAAGCCAGGTGTGGTGTGAGCGCTAGAGAGCCTGGAGCAGCCAAGGACCAAGCCCTGTGCTCTGGGCGCTAGGAGGAGGCAGGGTGGAGGTGGGGGCCTGGCACCAGGAGGCTGCCAGGCTGCCGGGACCATCAACCCGATGCTGGGCAGGTGGGGCCTCCTCACGATGAAAGCTGAAGGCCCACAGGCCCTGGGAGGGCAGCACCCCCATCCCCGGAGCCCGAGGGGAGGGAGAGAGAGCTGAAGAAAGGAACCATGAGGAAACAGACACCCCCCTCCCCCCGCC